ACCTCAGATTTTTTCAAAAGTGGATTCACTTCTGCAGAGGAAACACAACTTGGAAACAGCAGAGAAGTATTCAGGATACTGCATCCACCATTAGATTTACCTCCGTTTCCGTTGGGTAAAACTGCTGGATTTCCTCCTAGATTAGACACACAAAGCATACAGATCAAAGCTAGTGGGAAAAAGCATGTGATCCAGGTGTAACTTGCCCCATTTTAAACTTATAATATATTACACACAATCCCCTCTTATATTCAATAAAAGCACTCCCCATATAATAATTTGTGCCCCAATCACAGACATATATAATCGGTTGTAATATGGGGCTTCGTTTTTTGCTTAAAGCTAAAGAAGGACTAGTGTTTCTCATACATAATATACAACCTTACAAATCTGTTTCTAAAAGGTGGAAAGACTACACTCCTTTTAAATGCCAGAGAAAGGTACAGAATTTTCACGTTTGACTTTTCTCAATTTCCATGTGCTCGGTTTCCGTTTTGATATCCACCTTTATCAAAAACATATTGCAAAAATATTGCAACATATGCCCGTGTGCTGGTATTTAACTAACCAAAATAAGCTTCTAAGAGCCAGCTTTTAACTTTCTTCTCTTTCCAGCTGTTTAAATCAGTGTAGTATAATTGCATACTATGTGACCTGCACTATTGCTGTCATTGAGGTTTACCAGAGGCACTGCCCTTATTTAAGATGTATTGAAGGTGAGTATCCACATTACTGCTACAGGGGCATAAAATTGGTCCAGATATTTGACAGTGACATAACATATTAGTATCATATCGGCGACACTAGTCTTGTATTTACTTGGTATCAGATCAATGCCAATATATCTGCCCCCCTATCAACTGGTTTCCTACATCATCAAACTAACAGAAAAGGCTCGTCCCCATTGGAATATTCACCTTGTTTGCCACTCTGTCCGTTCGACATTCCAGTAAATGCTCTATGACCTTGAAAAAAATGTTAAATGTTGAGAATCATTGGTTGGACTTCATGGAATCTTCTTAGTCACATAATGTTAGTAAAATTATCAAATATATTATCGGGCTTCTTTGTATTTTTGTTTTGGCCACACACTACAGTCCCATAGCCTGAGTCTTACAGTAAGAGTAGAGTTTAGTTAATTGGGAATGCATATTAGGTTCACATTGTGTTATCACTGACCCACTCCTTTGGTAGGATCCCGGGCAAATCCATTTTGTGGCCCCATTATGCGACCTATACCTTAAAAAAAGATATTAATAGTTTCAAACAAGAGATTGCCAATTTAAGATTTTGATGAAAAACATTGGTTTTAAAATGTTGTTTTTACTTTACCTTTCGAAGGAATCAGCAACGATCCCACACCTCCACCACTTTGCGGTTTATTTCCTAGAAATTAGAAGTTATGCCATCTGACCAAAATCCACAATAGATGTATTTTTTTGTTTTTTGGTTGTTTTTTTTCTTTTCCTTTCTACATGAATGCATAGAGTGTGATATATTCACCATTTGGTTGTGGCCCTTGTCCATTGGAAATTGTAGGTGGAGCACTATACCCTTGAACAAAACAAATAAATAGATCAAAAGAGAACAAAAAATATGTAACAATCTATTATCTCACACAATGAATGACCCTCCACAAATTCACAGTGATTGCATTTAAATTACTACTAACCCAAACAAACGGGTTAAAAAAAGTTTTTGAATAAAAGTACCAACACGTGATCAGCAAGTGTGCAAAGATAAAAATACTTAGCATAAGTAGAATATGTCAAATTGAAATAAAAGGATGGATTAGGTAGCAAACACACAGTATTCTCTGTCATGAATGTGTGAGGCTGCAAATCCAGTTTTAATCTATGTGCTTTTGTTGCTATAGTTACAAGTCATTTCCCGGCATGCTGCCTTTTTCTGCTTTCTCTCTTTTTAATGATGTTATAACATTCAGCAAAAATGAGGGTGCCTTCAACATATCCATCTGTGTTTAACTGAATCAAATACTCACTACATCACAATTAGACCTTCTAATTAACTGTCAGTAAACAGTAAGTCATTACTTCGACAACAACTTTGAGAAGACGACAAAAGTCAATGGAGCGACTGTGTAAAAGCAGTAAAACCATTCTCTTCTCCTCTCACAGGTGGATGTTAAATTTAGACAGCTGTTGCCACCAAAGCCTATATGCCCGACTTCCAAACTGAGCCTGTGACTGAAGGGAAAGCAGAATATGCAGCTGCCTCACAACATCACAAGAAAACCTGTAAGAAGGCTGACCTCACTGAGCTTTAGAGCTTCTGTCATTGACATTTCACTTTAACATGATTGTTTGAAATTCGACAGGCAAACCCGACAGCCTGGTAGAAATTTGACTCATATGAGCTCTCCTGCTTTATTTACACTGGGTATGTGTTCTGTGAAGAAAAAGTTTCTCTACTGTAGGGATTTCTGTTCAAATAACTCAGTAGGACCTTAAATTCTGTAACCATCTTGTACAATTGCTATCTGTTTTTGCAAAGAGTGACACATTTTGGTTAAATTTCAGAGGCAAATCCATAGCATTTCCTACATTTAATTTTCAACTAATATAACAATGAGTACAAACAAAATGCAAGATTTCTATAACTGAAGGACCAATCGATCTCAGATATACAGAGAGCTTACCAGATCTGTTGGCGCTTCAACTACTGAATCCATTTGAAAGTTGACATTTATTTAGTGTCACATTTACGATCTTTTCACTCTAATGTGATCTTGATATTGCTACGTGTTGGGATGGGAGGAAGACTATAAATCATGTCTGATGTAGATCAGCAGAGCCTTTTCTCAGGGCCAACCAGATCATCGGCACCCTTGGCCATAATTCAACTCGTAACTCAACTTGAGTGTTTCACTCTCACTCTACAGACCACTGACAAAAACATAGCAAACACAATTCACACTCAGACGGTACATGTTCAGCTGGAGGTATTCCAGGGACTGTGATTAAACGGTACACGTTTCCTTATGCCACTAAAAGCAAGCCTTTCAAAGGTGTTTCAAACTGATACTACTTACGAAACATTTCAGTCACAGTGAAAAGTTAAATGATCAATAGAAAAACTAAATAGCTACAAGGCTTCAAGATAATATTATCATTTTTAGTTTGAGCAATTTTGACATTTAAAAAAAGAAAGGATGATTTGGATATCCCAAGAGAGTTGGGCACCAAGGTCTTTATCAACGGCCTTTGTTAGGAGAGGAAACCCAAAACATTTGAAGCATGCAGTGTAAAGAATATTAAAGTACTTTAAGGTAATCACTGCTAAAGTTGTACATTATGAAAGAAATGGTCTTGAACGGGTATAAGGGGGCCCAGGCATAAAATCCTAAAAAGAAAAATTCAAAAGTGGAAGACCTCTAGAGACTAAGCACGCTGTAGTGATACTCTGCTTTGAAACAGCATCTGCGCAAAAAAAATAAATAAAAAAGCCAACTTACTTTTGCAAATGTAACAAAATCATGACTTTCACTTTTCAGATACTTACCTCCAGCGTGTGCTGCCTGCACCACCCAAAGGAGCACCATGGTCTGAAGTAATCGTCCCATCATAGTTGACCTAAAGATAAAAAATGTTTCAAAACCAGCAGGAGAACATGTAGGCTGAAGAGGTTGTATGGAAGTGGGACACTCACCCTGATCGGAAGGGTTAAATATGCACTCTGGTCTGAGGTGCACCTCCTCTCACCCACTCTGGTGCATATAGATACTCCTTACCTAAAGATCCTCCTCTGCACATTAGGAAACTCTTTGAACTGAACACAATATCTGAATAACTGGCCACTTCAACTGCATGAACATTTAAGGTAGAAAATCAAGAAAGAAAAAAAAAAAAAAGAATTTCACTGACTTGTGCATCATGCAGTGATTGACATTGTTTATGATATATAAGCTAACACAGTTATGCTATTGAAAAAAAAGGCTAAAAAGGTCAAATGTACTATTACATTTATTTAGCGCTGATCAAATATTTCCACCAAAATCCTGTTCTTTAAAACCTGAGGCCTGGATTGATAAGGTCACTAGACAGATTCTCATAACGTACTTAAAACATTTGATGATTACTAATATAAGGAAACACTAGAAAAAAATGTACTACAAAAACTTGAGGCACATAGCTAATGAAAAAAACATAACGGACATCACATTAAAATGCTGAGAGCAGGACACGATGGAAACTGAGTGAGACCGTCAGTCCATAACGTTTCCATGGTGAAAGGAAAAGTAGAAAAAGATAAAAAGAAAAACCAATATATCTCACCTTTCACATAGATTCCTCACTTAAAGCCCAAATCCTCTTCTTATGAGGTCAAGAAGAGGTTAAACTCTCACTTTCCAGCTCACTCAGACCTCTCACATACTTGGCCTCTAAACAAACTAGCAAGTGCCGGTTCAGCTTTTTTCCACTTGGTGACGAATGTGTGTTAAAAATCATGATCATTATGCTTCCGATGTCTTTAGACAATCATAGTAGTCATGGTAGTGGAGTTCTTAAATTATGTTTTGCAGTTCTCCAGATAATTTTGTAAACTTTATATGAACCTAAAGAAAATGAGCAATTGCAACATGCGTAACTTTTCACCAATTCACCAATTTTACTTGAATAAAAAAAAATAGGAAAACACCAGTAATAAAATATGACAAGGGACTCCCTTACACATTGTCATTTTAAGATTAAATTCACTTCCTTGAACTTTTGTGGTGGGATTTATTTTGAAGTAGTCCCCAGGATAAAAATTGAAAAAAAGCACGTTGCAGGATCACACTGCTGTTTCACAGGGTTTCTCCTGCTGGATACAGCCAAGACTGCTGTCAGCATCCCTCTTCTAATGTGTGAAGCTGTTAAAGGCAAGCTGCCCAACAAGGCTCCGAGTCAGTGTTTGGTATAACGCCAGCTGAATTTTCTTATTAGGGTGCCTTTATAAATAATTTAAAAAAAAAAATATATATATATATATATATATATATATGTGTGTGTGATTTCTAACAGCATTGAGATCAGAGCAATTTATTTTAAAAAGGTGATTAAATGCATATCACCTGAATATTTGTGAAATTACTTTAAACATGTAAAAAACTAATCTAATTCTTTAAAAAAGTTATTCTGAAATATCTAAAATGAAACGTGAAATTTTCACCTCAATTTTCTGCTATGATACAAATTTACTAAACGGTAGCAAAAATACCTTTGAATCAATTTGCGGTGAAGATTCATGTGCCAACACCAGTCCTCCACAGCTGTTCCATCTCCTTGAGCCGTTTACACTTAGTTTGACATTGCCGTCCTTGACTGAATCCAAGTCTACATTATACACATTTCGAGTTTGAAGTGTCTTTACTAGTGTCTAAAAGTCTGGAAATTCAAATCCTAATATCTATTTAGGAATAAGCATGGACAACCATCGTTTGGTTGGGCTCATTTACAAGAGTCACAAATTAAAACTTGAGCATGGATTGTTCTACATTAGTTTATCAGAATCAAGCTAATGCAGCTGGTGCAGTGCCTGTAAATTCCCATGACTTCCATGTGATATCTAATTTACTTTTCTCCAGCATTATGAAAATGTTTGGGGGGGGGGGGGGGGGAGACGTGTTCTTTGGCCCCTTCATAGACTCCAAGAAGCTTTGAAGCAAAGGCAATTCTCTGGTGCAAAGGAAATGATAAGCACTGACCCGTTCAGTGCATTTTCAGCACATCGGACTGTTAAGCAATTTCAATTTTTTTTTATTCATGTTGCAAGTGCTGTACAAGTGTGCTTTTTGAATTATCTGTTTCCAAATGAAATAAAATAAAAATCTTTATAACTGAAACTTTTAAGATGCAAAATTACAAATACTTAGTAACACTACACATGTATACACAATGCATGCCTTTTTACAAAATCCAAAATTGCACGGCATGTGTTGAGCCATGCCGTGCCATTAACATATCCATAAAGCACCACATTCAGAAATAACAATCCTCAGCCTGGTCACCATATCTGATGTACACAAAAATTGATTGTCTTGTAATTTCACCAATGATGAAATTCAGAAGTAATGTATAAGTGGAGTTGACCATAAAACCAACTACCATATCAATTTGGAGGTTTTTAACTGCTCATTAATACATAGATGTATGTTAGCTTAACTAACAAAAATGTATGTAGTTTAGTAGAGACCAAACAGAGAAGAGTAAAACAATTACATAAAGTAAATAAGAGGGGAAACAGTTTAAGGTGCAAAAATGTGAAGGGATGGGGTAAAGAATCAGAACCAAAAAGTTCATGGCCCATAAAGCAGATTGTTAGAAATATCAGACGAGTTTCTGTGTGTATGCTCCCTCAGGCGAGTCCTCACCACAACCTAGTAAATGGATGAAAACATCTCATCAGCTGACATCCACCTTATGATGGAAGAGCCAAGAATCCGGTTGCAGATCTAAATCAGGATATTGAATACATTTGTCAGACCTGAATATGGTCCATCAGCTATGAAGATTCTGTTAGCATCTGTAAAGAAGACTCACTCCATGTTGCTTTTCAGTTGATGCACAGTACGCTTGTCTAGGTAACGGCAGAAAAGGGCGAGAAGGTTTGAAGGCATAAGAAGCGGCTCCACAAGTGAACACTGGGACAGCGCCCCAGCAACCTGGAATATTATGTCAGTCCTAAAAGACAAAAACACCAAAAAACATTAAGTAATCTTTACAATTCTCAAAAGTGGTTGCATTATGCACCATGTTCCCACCAGGTCTCAAAGTCACCGATGCTGGGCTTAAGAGGTTTGCTTGATGACAGCAGCTTCTCTCCGTGGGACAGGAGAGCATACAGTAAGGACAGTCCAAACTGTAAAGAGAAAAATTAGGAATAAGAGGAGGAAAAGCCTAAATGTTTTTAAATGTAGCAACACAAACTTACCTTATTCTGACATGCCAGAGAAAGGTACTCAAATGTTCCAACAGTTTCTGATGATGCGAGATCTTTGAGAACACTAATCAGCTGATTGAAGGTCAGGCCACCAATCACATTGCGAAGAGGCGAGTAAAGAACTGGAAGGGCCTAAAATCAAGTTAAACTCAATATGATCTGGTTTTTCATTAAAATATTACAGTGAAACAAATGTAGACAACCATCAACCACAATGAATCACTAGAACATAAATGTGAGGAGCGCAGAACCATTTGGATAATTGGATGCCTCTTGTTTAGTCGTTAACCTCAACTGCAAATGTAGTCGAAACAGGCATAAGCTCAAAAAGGAAAAAAATCTCAATTACTCAAATTTTATACCGTTCCAAAAAGAAACCTGGATGTCCTGAAATAAAACATTTAAACTGACCCACCTCTTCTGCATCTCTGCTCATCAGTGTAGGAAGATTGCAGGTCACAATGTGCAAGATTTTCATGGCCCAATCATGTTTTAGGAAGGGAAGCAGGCGAGCAAGGAGTTTCTTTCCTTTTGAGACAAGCAGGAAAGGAAGAAACTCCTCTCCCAAATCTCTACATCAAGAATTGAAAAAGTCCAATGATATGGAGCTAGGAATACAAGTTTCCAACTATACTATTTCACAACATTTCTTCCAAAGTGATGGACAAGGACTCACAAAGAGTTGTGGTTCTGTAGCTGGGAATAGATGTGCTCCACTTTCCTCTGGGTTTTCTCCATCAGCCTCCTCTCTTCAGCTTCAGACAAGATTGTCGTTTTCATCCTTTCAGTTTCTTCCACCTCCAGCAAGGCCATGTACAACTGCAGAACAGAACGGGCAAAAACCCTGTCGGTGATATAAAGATACCCCCTTAACAAATGATAAAAAATAAAATCTAAAAACTGCAGGTACCTTTTCTATCTTACTCAGGACCTCTAATCGCTGTTGTGTGTCTTTGTGATCCTGCAGAATTTTAATTTTTTATTGGGAAGTGTGTCTTGGAGAGGAATTTAAAGGAAAATTTAAAGGAAAAAAAAATGGTTGTCAAAAACAGACCTCAAGTGGCGACTGAGCTTGGTCTGCATGAACTGCACCTATGGCGCGACGAGGAGAGTAACAGGTGGACACAGCAACTTGACCTAAGGAACCTTCAATGTGCACCACTGAAAGAACAAAAAAAAGTGTGTACCAAGAGCCCCCCCAAAAAAATAAACAGAACTGACAGCATCAAAGTCCATTTCATACACAAAATAGATAAACCTGGTATGTAGGACTCCATCTTTGCAATGTAAGGCGTTGTGAGCTTTGGTGGTTCCCTCTTGCTCCTGATCCCCAGTTCTTCTTCCGCCATCTTGGCTTCAATTCGACGATAATACTCCTGTTAAGAGTTTGAGCACACAAACCATTAGAGCCACTAAAATCAACCACCATATAAGAAGCCGTCTTTCCAACCTGATAATAATAGTCCTCAAGGTATGGATTTTCACTTTGCAGTTGGATCATTTGCAGACGGGTGATCCACTCCTTCTCTTTTGCCGTCATGAGATTACAGTATGGATCCCAGCCTTCACACCTTCTGCCAGAAAGATGACAAATAAATGTCTTTCTACAGAATAACCAAAGTGCTTTTTTGTTTTTTTAAAACTTAATGTAGCTCAAACCTTTGGAATAAACGTTGCTTTTGACTGAGAAGTCGTTTATGTTGAGGATGAAGCTGCGTGACTGGACCGGGGTACCTGTTTTTCAGGAAGGTTTTATTCGCACCCATGACGAACAAATTCTGTTGCTCAGTTACAATTTCCTAGTAGCTTTGTTAAAGCAAATACAGTAGCACCATTTCCACAGACACTTGCCAATTTTTTCTAGCGCACACCCCATGTCAATTTGTAGTTTAGTAAATTTACCCTGACAAATTCTAAAAAGTTGTAAAAAAAAATATATATATATATATATATACACAGTATGAATACATTTTATCTGTAGGGAGTAGATTAATCCATTAAAGTAGTCCCTCAGAAGAGCACCTTTATTCTACAGAAATTACACAACTCTTCCATGAAATACTCAAGAATCAATCTTTGCTTAGGAGTGAAATATGTACAAGTCTGGCAAAAGCACCCCCTACCTGAAAGGTGGCTCTGGATTGGATGAGGGGCTGTAGAAAGGGGATGGTCTGGGTGAATTGGAGCCAAAACGAAGCTGCATCATCTTGGGAGGTAGAGGCTAAGGTGTGGAGGGGCACGGGCGGTTTGGGGAAAAACATAATCTTACCGTCTCAGCATAACATCAGGAATGTCAGAAAATCCTGACGGGACAGATTTGCATTCATCTTTAATTACAGATAATAAAATGAACCTGATTGAAGTGTCGTGGTGTTAGTGGTTCACGCGAAAAGATGGGTGATCCTGGTACAATGGGTGCATGCAACTGCAAGATACATTTAAAGCCAATGTTCAGGTAATAAAAAAAAAATACACCAAACAAGGAAAATGTGATCGATTCTGGGAAGCTTTCCGTCTCTTGGGTAAATTCAGATGTTCCTTTACATCCAAAACACTCAAACCGATTATAGACTTTCCCCACCCCCCACTCTTTCCCAATATACAAGGGTCGGCAATCAAAGCTTTTTCTCAGGCAGCCAACTATGGGTCATGTGGAAAAGCAGTCCCAGTAACTAAAGCTGCCCATGACATTTTTGCTGACCAGGTGAAACATCTAGTTCTAGTCATCTGAAAGCAGATGACAAACCATTCAATCAGAAGCAACTAGAATAGCCTTTGCAGCAGCCATGTGATAAGTATAGGTGATGCCTTGGTGTGCAAGGTTGTCATGTAGGATCAATTTGACTCAAATGTGATTGAGTGGTTACAACCAATCAAGATATATTTCAAATAAAATGCACTGATCAGTGCCTCTGTCCATTAAGAGTTGCTTATGCTCAGGCAATCACTTCTAACTTCAAATTTATTATGGACAGTAGTGACATTTAAAATGGAGAAAATAAATTAAATTTTAATCTGAAATTTAAATGGAGTATCTTTTCCACCTGAGAAGGTCCTCTTTGGCTAAACTGTCGTCTTGAGTAGGATCCTCTGGGTTCCCCTCTCCTACCTCTGTAGGAGGAGATGAAATACGGTATATCCAAGAAACTGGAGTTCATGTGCTGACCTCTACCTCTGTGACCAATCGCACACACTATAGCACTGTCCTATAAAAGATGAGACTCAAGGTTAAAATCCCATTCGACCCACTGTTGTACATATGAAACGCTCTTGTAACCTGAAGAATTGATCCAGAGGGTCTTCTGCTTTTTCTGCATGATGGCAACATTCTCTGGGACAACATAAAATAAACACGTTTTTCAGTAAAAACACAAATGAATATAAAATGTATCAGTGCTACACTTACATCATCCTGAAAAGTATTTCGCCATAAAGCATGCCCACAATCCACTATGGCGCTGTCAAGGCTCTTTTTATTGAAGAAAAAAAAAAAAGTTAAATAGTTGCTGTAAGTTTACCTGTCAGAGTTTCACAACAATCTTTCTTACCATGAGGCTCTGTCGCCCCTCCACTATCCTCATCACAGCTGGATCTTGAAATATCTGTTCCCTCCCGAGCAGTCCTCTTCTTCCCCTACCTCTGTTGTGCTGCCATGGGGCAGCCCGGGGCAGATACCTCTGTCTGGAAGGGGAGGAGGGGGGAACAAGGGGGGATGTAAGCTTGGGCTCTGGTGCCGGAGGCGGTGTTTCAGGCATTGGTTCTCCAAATGGAATGCTGCCATTGCAGATGCCAGTTGTCACATGTGGGTCAAGATCTACAATGACAACATATGAAATTTGAGGAGAGGTTTATACAGGTAATACTGATCATTCAACTTTATGTTGAGTCTGATCATTACCCCTTGGAGAAGCTTTTAAAATTCCCATCTTCCGAGTTTAAATAAAATTATTCAAACCATGTTGGGCTATCAGCACCTGTGCCTCAACTAGTTAAGCAGAGAACACCTATATAGGATTTTTTTTCTCCACGATGGTACAGCATTTTAACCAATCAGTTTTAAGAGTTAAACAAATAAATAAATTGGAAGAGTTGCAACCACTAAGATTAGAATGTACAGTATTATGGTTTGTTTAGAGCAGGGGTGTTCCAACTCTGGTCCTTGACGGGTGTTACCCTGCAGGTTTTAGAAGCTTCCCACTTCAGCACACCTGATTATGACGCAGTGGATCAATTAAAAACCTCTGCACCAGCCTGATGATGTACTGACTTGAATCAGGTGTGTTGAAGCAGTGAATGTCTACCAAAACCACTCTTACATCATAAAAAGAATAAAATAAAAATAAATAAAAATCACCTCGTTATATTCTTAAGTAGACATTCGCTTAAGAAGGTACTGTGCACCCGTCATAGAATCAGCATCACATAAAAAGGACAAACTGATTACTTTTTAAGTGATGTAGACAGATCTACGCACCCATCCCAAACGTCTCCTCATTGTAGACGTTTATGTCTTCGTCCTCCTCTGCCATGGCCTGCAGAAGCCCGCAGTCCATACTCGTGTCATTCTCGTCATCACTCCACTCGTCTCCATTCTCAGGCCACTGGGCCTCACCGACCTTTTCTGTATCCTGGACGGAACGAAAGAGGAAGGATGTACACCCATATGAGGGTGAATCGCTTTCTGTGAAGAATATTGCCCAAGTCGTTTGAAAAAATAAAAATAACTTAAAAGCCAAACTATGCCGACTTACTTGTTGCTGTTCTGAATCACTCATCGTGTGTTCAGGATTTGTTTTTTCCAAATGTGAAAACGACGGCTCACGATGATTGCCCGGTTACCTGCTTTCAGCCGGCAGAGCGCGAGACTCGCTCATTAACCTCTAAATGAACTCACCTGTCAGGGGCAGAGGGGCTGACGTCATCACACAGCTGCCACCCCCCCCCCTGCTGAATCCACTAATGTAATTTATCCATTCTGTCAATAAGGTTTTTGACATTCTTCTTTTATTTATTTTTTTAGAGTTGCACTGTTTCCATGCTGCTCAAATAAATGACCGACTCCTCAACATAAAGTTGTGAACCAACAGTGACCTCTAGTGCGCAATTCAACATTTTCACATATTTTAGGCTTATCTATAGCTGTAATTATTCATTTGCTCTGAATTTGGTTTGGATAATGTATTTATACCGTACGAATTTGTTTCAGCGACCACATTTAAGAAAACTCTGTAGAAATTCTTCCAGTAAATTGGTTTGTGTTCCTTTCTCAGATGAGCTCCACTGTGGACATCTTTTCCCTCTAGAAAAAAGTTAACCACCCCATGTAAGTGTGTGAACCTTTATATATACATTGCTATGTTTTTGATTAACTAAAAAGTGATGTCAGTTTTTACACTGCTTTTCAGTTATAGGTTGACATTATTCTTGAGTAAATCAATCCTTAAAACAGCAAAATAAATTTGTGTTAACCTTTGTTTATTCTTTGGAACTGTTTTTGGCAATTGTGAAATGGTGAGAGAATAATACAAAATATCTGACTTTAAACATAAGGCAGTTTACATAAACACTGATGGCAGTCATACAGTATATAAATGCATTTGCGGTGAAATGTATACTTTTAGCAATATAAAGCAAATATATTAAAGGGAATATCCTTTCAAAACATTAATTTTTCAGAATGGTAACAATAAATTTGTTGTTTCTTTCTCTGGTAAAATAATTCAATGGTCAATATTCAATTTGAATCACCACCGTATGCAAAATATTCACATACATGAGAAAATCATTTGGCATTCATTTGTGGGTGTGTAACAAATACCTGAGGCGTGGACACACCGGTCCATATATTTGTCAAATAAATTTTAAAAAATGCATTAGGTTGGATGATTGTGTCTCTTCCCCCTCCTCCATTAACACACATCTTGAAACCAACAAATGGACCAGCTCCACCCTCACTCCCACAGAATATAAACAAATTGTGATAGAAAGGTCAGATGGCTTCTTCACTGCGGGGTAGTCTTGAGCTCTGTTCTCAACCAAAGAGCTTGATGAAGCAGGGATGGCAGTAGGGCTTGTTCTCCTGCTCCTTGAAGCACCCTTTGCTCAGGGGCTTCTGGCAGAAGTGGCAAACGAGATGGTGGGGATGGAACTTGGCCCCCATGGCTGTGACACAGCGGCCCAGGATGGGCTGCTGGCACGCCTGACACACGCTGCCACGGCACTGGTGGTAGTGGGCCTCACACAGCGGCTTACCCTCGTGTTCAAAGAAGCTGCCATTTACAAAGGGGCTGTAGCACTCCTGAGGCGAAAGAAAAAAAAATCAGGGGTGACAACAAGCAAAAGATTAGGCTCTTGACTCATGCAGCTGTATATAGTTTTCCTGTGAAACGATACACAATGACATAATCCCAGTTCATTTGCTTTGACTTTTTCTGCTTGTGTAATCATTTCCTAATAATTGAGATAATCGTGGTTTGTTTTGTTCTAACTGCATGAACAGGTCAACAAACACTTGCAGGGCAACATCAAGAATCTTAACTTTCGAATACAAATATCATAATATTATAGTTAACAGATCTGTAGTTCAGCTCTTGTGTAATTTGACAGACCTCATCCCATTTCCCTGTTTCTTGCTCCGAAAAATAACTTTTTAAAGGCCACCTCCATTTTAGATTATTTCTGATAAGTCTTCAGGGAACAGCACATGGACCAACTGAAGGGCGAGGTGCACCTGTCTTTGCCGGACTTTGTTCTCATTTCAAAATTTGATTCCTTTCACAGCTTGTTCATTGGCTGTCAAATATTATTCTTTAGGCATGTGGCTTCTTCATTTGGTCTCCACGTGTTGCAATTCACAGAGTTTTCAGAAAATTGCTCTTTGGGAAACACGTTGTTGAGCATAATTATCATTTTATGCCAGGAAAACCTGGTTCTTGTTGGCATTTTCAACACAGTTCAGAAAAATGATGCATCATTGCAACAGACGGTTAATAACAAAGTTCTTTGGTGACACTGGTTGATCCTGAGAGTAAAGGGTAATTTGATGCTTAAATGAAAAACACATTCCTCTAAAAAGAACCAACACGTTGGTTGAAAGGCACACTCACCCGACATACGAAGCATTGTGGGTGCCAGAGAGAGTTCAGAGCTGAGATGTAGTTTTCCAGAATAGGCTGGCTGCAGCCTTGACAGCGGGAGGCAAACAGAGTCAAAAAGCACTGTTGGCAGTACTGCTGGCCCTCTCGGTCATGGAAACCTGCAGGAGATTATAACAGTGCATTACAGCACTTTAGGAGGTAATTTAACAAACAAATTGGCCATCTTATCACATCGGGACTCTGATGAATTAGGGTATTAAAACATCAATTTGGCTTCCTAAACCTTTACAGTTTTGGGTGTTTCTTCTTTTCTTGTAATATAAATGTGATCAATTTTGTGCTTAGATGTGTACAAAGGCTAATACATTTCCTTGATATTCTTGGCACAGATGATTTCCTTTAAGCAAAGATGTTAGGTTTCCATACAGAAAAGTAAATAAAGGGAATATTTTAGAGGGCCATGTGTTAGGAATACAGTTGACCTCTCTGTGTAGACCCAGTAAGGACACGTTACCTTCCTCTCCAAAACTGCGGCTGCACTTGACGCAGCAGAAACACTCTGGGTGCCAGTTTTTGTCCAGAGCGGTGACCATTTTCTGCACAGTAAGAGACACAAAACAGTAAGGCTGGAGCAAAGACACGCCACAAATCCGTTTCAAAATAACATCGCGGAGTCAGGCCTGAGCGCCTCACATTCAGTATGGGTTTGTTGCAGTGTGCACAGTGTGGGGAGAAGAGGGTGAAGTAATCTGACTCGCAGTACGGCCGTCCATCCTTCTCAAAGAAGTTGCGACTGCCCAACTCCGTCTCACATTCAGTGCACACAAAGTGCTCCGGGTGCCACACCCTCCCCAGAGCCGTCACCACCTGCGTGGACAAGAGGCGGGGTTGCTCGTTCAGAGGGAAAACGCCTCTCAATGAGTGATCGGCAGTAGTACTCCAGATGAATTTTATCTGAACATTTTTACCTGCCCCACAACTGGTTTTTGACACGCCGAACAGCTGCCTTTGGAAGACGTCTGAACTCCTTGTCGGCTCAGGTCCGATTGGAGCAGCCCCAGCATGCTGTCCAGGGAGCCTTCGGATGAGGGCTGCGGGGGCACCGAGGGCTGCGGGGGGGCTGTAACAACTGGAGTGGCATTTGCTGGCGGCTGGCAGAAGACAAAGAGAAGACCTTATAAATAAAACCTGTAGTTAAGCTTCCAGACAGTGGATGTGTACACAAAAACAAAAGAAACCATCTCAAAGTTAGAGGTCAAATCAGCCTTAAACAAAAAAAGAAAAACTGTAGGAATGTGCTGAACTTCAAATGTTTAAAGAAATCAGCACATTCAGTGGAGTTGTTTCACCTGCTTTAACCCTTTTTAATGCCGCATTCTACCTTTTGTCAGGGCACATCTTTGACCGCCTGTGCTGTTTCACACTGACAAGATAAAATAAGCATCACTAAGCTATTTCCACCACATACTTCAGCTATTTAATGCTTAAAATATGCACTTGTGGACAAAAAAAACATTGATTCTCAAGAATGTTTCCCCAAGGGAAAGAAAAAAAAGTGTTCCCTTTGCCTCTCTTTTTCAGTTTGGACATTAAAGGGTTAAAACTGTCTTCCCATAACCCTTTGGAGTCTTGTTTATTAGCCACAGCTGGACAGCACACTTAAGTCAAACATCCTTATAATGACAAAGCAGATTCCACAGCTCACTTGTAAGCCCATACCTCAAAAACGACTAGCAGATATACAACGGCAAATGAAAAGCTACAGATTTACTGTAATTTCCTAATACATGAACTTATTGTGAAACTAAGAAATATTTCCACCAAGACTGATTCAGCCGCAGGTCACATCCTGTGACTGATGTGTAGCAGGAGGTATGAGCTCTTACAGCGCGGTCATTATGAAGCAGAGTAAGCCTCTTTCATTCTTACAGTCATGCCATGAGCACAGTTGATTCAAAAGAAAAGGCTGACACGCTGTACCTCTACATCACTTTCATAAATCCTCATCTTCATAATTCTCTGAATGACATTAACAGCATTTTCTTATCTTTTTCATTAACACAAGAAGTAATGGTGACATTGTTGTCATGAACTTTACATGAACTTTACATCAACATTTTAAAGTGATGAGTCAAAAGCCAAGTATCATCATAAAGATGGCCTTAAAAAACCCAATTTTTCGATGTGTATTAGAGATCACTAATCAAATATTTGTGAATTGCAGGTATTAATAACCATAATCTGTAGTGCCACAGTTCCAGTCTCATATTCCTAATAAATCTAAATGCTTGTGTATTACTTACTGTGCTCTGGACTCTGAAGTCTGACAAAGAGGCCATCAGTTTGTCCAACTCCAGTGTGGCTGATGTTGCCGAGGGCTTTGCTGAGCTGCAGCATCAAACACATAGTGTCATCTACATTTGTGTTTTTCACCAAGAGAGTCCAAACTTAGCATGTGAGACAGAATGTGACAAGAGGTGCCACAGCAGCGTACAAAATGAGAAAAGAAATTGTTCTCTGAACATTAAAGCAAAAAACAAGTATCATACAGCTCATCATGCAACCTCATGTGTATGATAGCAAAGACACAAAAATCCCACTCTCACTGCACTGTGGTTCTGAAATGGAAAGTTATAGAGCAACAATATCCCTTTAAGTTACCTACTTTTTTTTTTACAAAGAATTATTTTTACCTTTATAAAACCTTTCCTTTATCTATGTCAGCATGAATTGGGTGAGCTTTGAACTTATATATTAAACGGATCACTTTGCAACGGCTTATGCAGCTTCCACGTAGTTTGCAGGTTTACAAACAGAATAGGAATGCAGTGGCTTAATGCTGCATGCAGATCTTTAGACACGACTAAGCTGGTACCTGGAGGATGGGGTGGTGGCCTTATCCTTGATCTTGTCCCTGTCATCTTTCTTAGAAGCAGGAAACTGGGCCAGGATCTCATCTGATAATACAAAACAAGGTCATACTGAAGAAAATGCCTACCTCAGTTAAACTCACACGCACATCCCACACACACCAACCTGTGATGTTAAACTGAGTGGCATTGAGCTCCTGTAACAAGTGGTCCAGTTCACTCAGACCTCCACCTAACAGTGAGGAGGAGGAGAAGGTGGGAGGAGGATCTACTGTGCGGGGAGAGCGTGGTTTACACACTGTGCTGTGGGAGAGACAAGACAGACAGACCCTGATAGTAACTTCATTATAAAGCATCCTCCCACTAATGTACTTTGATTCATCATGGTCAAACTGCTCATCCAGGAATGAGTCATGAGGCAGCCTGGCTGTGGTTTTTAGAGCCAGACACATTCAGAAGAAGAAACGGCGGCAAAGAAAAGAATCTTTCACAATTTCCCTGTAATGTTATTCCCAGCTGGCTTTGGGCGGATATTTTACCATCCCATCGCATTCCAAAGACTGTCACATGTGTCACTGTCAGCTGCGCTCCAAATGAAGAATACTGGAAGACATTGTTAACGTCTGGCACAAAACACCAAGGAAGAAGCTGAGCACAAGCAGTCCTGAGCCTAAGCTAGCTTCTGCGAGAGATATGCAGCTGTTTGGGGATTTAAACAATCCCCAAAGTTCCATCAATCCATCAGAGCCAACACATTAAGGCCGGATACAATCTTATGTTCAAATCCTTCTCTCCGGTCATCATGCCTGGAACATATGACATTCAGGGGAAATCATTTGGATAAGAAACCTACAATGGAATGAGGAGGTAACTTTAGTCCATGAGCCTCACACTTCAGGATGGAAGCAATGGCTCTGCAGAGCATTTGTTGGCCACAGTCTAAAGTGTGTTTTGGATTTAATGAGACAGGTGCACAGAATCCATCCGAAACAATACTAATTAGAAGCTTCAAGACTTGTGTGGCTCAACAAGAGGGAATCAAGGGAAGCAGCCGGACAGGTGGTCATTCTGACACTGATCTCTGACTACAAACATCTGCATGTGGACCTTTAATTCAGACTTTGGTTGCTGTTTGCAGTCCTAATGATACTAACCTGTCATGTTTGGGCCAGCTCTGGCTGGAGTCATAGGACGCATCCGCACAAAGAGCAAAGAGGTCGGAAAATTGCATGCCGAAATAAATTGTGAAGCCTTTTTAGTGTGCCTGGATTCAAACGATTACACTAACAGGATATGTACGCCTACATATCTGTCATGTATCCATCCATTTTCCATGCTGCCTTTTCCATTGGAGCCTACACAGAAAGTTACACAAATATCTATGGAATGCAAACTGGAACCCTGGTTTGTAAGTTTCCCGGACAATAACTTCTAAGCGCCCATCTCACGTTCATGTTAAATTTTGCCTGACGCATTGCCGGTTTAAAAGACTTTAAACGTCATCGATGCATTGGTAACATTGGCATGCAAATATCCACCGATATTACTGTCATCATTATGCAGTGATGACATTGATTAGCTTCAACCGAAGGGAAGCAGCAGCAGAATAGCTCACCATGAAGCCTGTAAGCACTGCAGATGCAACAGGCAGGCCTTATTTCCAAAGTCTTTCAAACAGCAAAAGCACTGATACATGCGATAAGAGTCAGCCTTTTCAGGAGCTCCGGACATTTTCAATGCAACCAAAAGTGGCGTTCATCAGCTTCCATTCTGTGCTCTGAGAAGCACCAGAGATGAGCTGAACTAGGTCACCTGGAGGAAGATGCATCAACACGTACCTGTATAATTTATCTGGGTTATTGGAGTTCTGTGAGGACTTCATCGCAGAGGAAACAGTCTAAGAGACAAACAGATGATAGGTTCTGGTCAGATATTTGGAAAAAAAAGTTTGAATTCTTAGAGATATTTGAGCCACATTGGCTCTAAATGTCATAACAGCACAACAGTCCCTCCTCTGAGTGTCCACCTGTTGTGGTGTGTAGGCAGGAGGTGGCGGCCGGCCCTGGGCTGGGTCCTGGGTGACTGGATCGGCATTCTGCGGCGGGTCAGAGGTGAGCAGGACGGGACACCGAGGGAGGGGAGAGCTGGTGCTCTCCAAATCAGCAAGGAGAGCATCTAGAAAGAAGAGAGAAGCAGGGTGACAGAAGTTCAGCCGAGCTCTTAACATCACTTAGTTTCACTTGAGATGAAGGTTAAAGGCGGGTCACCGTCCCCTGAATTAACTCTACGTTTATGGTTGTCCCTGATGGAGTTAAGAAACAAAATGAGAGGGACTGCTCTAACCATGCACGGTGTGTGAGGCTGGGTGAGTAGTGAATGACAGAGACACACATGTAACACACACATGCACAAAAAAGCTACGTACCAAACACAACTATACGAGGACTGAGAGGGTAGTTAGAGGGCTCAGGCAGTCCTGAGGAGAGACAGACAGCCTGTGTGACCAATGCAGAAAGACGGGCCACACAGCGCACACACAGCATGGAGGGGCAGCATCCCCGGCCACCAATCAGCCGCCGGACGGGAAAGTCCGAGTCGCCAGAACTCAGAGACAAACCATCCGCGCAGCGAGTTGACACATATATGACACATAGATTTCTGCATTCATATCTGAGACATGCAAGCATGCAGAGGAAGCAGAGGAGGAAGAGTGTTTGGCAACTGATATCTAAATCCACTCCCCCAGCCTCCCCCACACACTCACACTTCTGCGGATGTGGAGCCTGTCCAGAGGCTCAGACGCTAGCCTCCGCTGCTGTGTGACATCATTTAGTGCTGACAAGTCCCTATACGTCCCTATACGTGCGGCCGGGGCCAAAGAAGGGTGTTTGAAAAGAGGACTTAAAATGAGTGATTACAAACTCCAAGGTGGAGCCGGGAGGCTGCTGTTCTGGATGAATTTCCTGGTTTGACCATCGGGAATTCTGACTGCTGGACCAGTCGGAAAAAATGTTTAATGGGCAGAGGAGGCGAAACCAAACTGTCTGTTTGAACCAGGACGTTACGTCTGTGTTATACTGTGTGTGCTACTATGAGGACCATATGATAACCGCCTAATTAGACAAGTTATGTTTCTATCACTGTTTTTATTCACACTGAGGATATGTGAATCAGAAAAGATTACTGAAAGCAATGGCAACCTGGTTTTAAAGAACATTTGACTACATCTGCGCGGGCAAAGATCAAAATTATTTATCATCCATTTTCAGTCAGAGCATTAAAATCTGGACTGTTGATTTAAATAGTTTTTTTCATTACATATTTTCAAACACAATGATTATTTCCCCTAAGTGGTTAATTCAGTTCTGCCTATCGACTTAAAAAAAAGTTAGTGTTTTCACATAAGTGTCATAGAAAATTATGATAAAAAATCAGAAATCTTTCAAGAATCACAACGTATAAGAAGGCAAACATCGAATTAAATAAACACCAACATATTAAAGCCACAAACAACAAAGTGTCATTCAGGTCTTATTCTCAGGTGTTCAGTTAGTAACGTAGTCTGTAATCAAACTGAAAGCATGTCAAGAACCTGCAAGTAATTAGATAAATCACACATCCGGCTCTGTGGGGTTCATTCACTATCAAACACTGCATCCTTTCCATCAGACTTTAACAATCCTGTATATCACCTGCAGCTGATCTGAGGCATCTGCACTTGTTTCATTTCCTGGCACTTTTGCATGGGAGCGTGCCAAGAGACATAAATCCCAGTCCTAATCAAAGCACGGAAACAGATGTGATCAGCAAGAAATTAAGAATAATTATCATAAAGTGACTGACATATGAACTCCCTCCAAAACCACAGATGGATACTGTAAGCTAGCTCTTTTTATAGACTTATTTGGCTGTATCGTGGATAGAGGAATGATCATCAGTCATTCATTAGCTCTGCAGTGTCCTCATGCTAACCCTCGGGCTGCCTTTGTTCTGTGAGGCTGTATTCCGAGAAAAAAAATAAAGATTCATACTGACAATAACTGAAAAGCCTTGTCTGGTTGGAAATCAGAATCTAATTCGTGCCATTTGATCTGGGTTTTAATTTGTCAAATCTCACAGGACATAAAGATGGAAAAAAAACTTTCTATCTTATCACTTGAAGCATTTTTTCACTTGTAATAGTGAATTTTTCAGGTCATCTTTGACTGAGTTTAGCAGATGAGACCTTTGTTCTTTTTCTGTTTAGGCCACTGAAAGGATCCCTGCATAAATATTTCTGCTCCGATCACCGAACAGCAAGAGGCCACTTCTGACCCCTTGCTCAAAACTTCTTTCTGTGCTGAGCAGTTATTCGGCTTGAGTTGAGCCGTGTGGCCACTCCTGCCCCGGATGATTCACACGTCTGGTACGGCCATGCGTTGCGAGGCCTGTGCATAAACTACTCTCCCTCCTCCGGCCTGCTGAGACTCTGTATTTTTACGGAGTCTAGGAGACTGCACATATAAGGAGCTGAAGTTCCCTCAATGGGAATTATGACCATATTTAGCGCTGCCTGCCAACTTGTTTGTCTTGGCCAAAGGCCTTTCTAACAAGTGGTCCCGCTCTCGGGGAGCCTCAGCAGATCCGACACACAAACTCCAGACGCTGCTGAACAGCAGCATGAAGGCGTCTCAAACATGGCCACAGTCGGACTGGGGCTCGCTCATTCAGCCCGGCAGCTCCCTCTCACTGCGCGCAATCTAATCCAGATGTGCCCAGATGAGTTTGGCTCCATGTTGCCATCCCTCTTCGCATTGCTTGCTAGGCATAAATATCTGGTGTCTAAGGTAGATTTGTTCTTTTTTTTAACAGAAGACAAAAATCCAGAGCAGAGCCAATGGGCAGCTGAGGCAGAAACCCATTTTTCTACGTCTCCTGAACTCTGTGGCTTTTTGAAAAACCAGCACTGCGCTTGGCTATTTCAGGGCCTTTCCGACACAGCTCCTCTAAAACACAGTTGGCTTCTCATAATGTTGTTTCGAATCAGAAAGGGAGGGAAAAAAAGAGGCTGCCCGGTGCTGGACACTGTCCCTCTTGGTGTCTGAAATGGGAGGCATCCTGTCGAGCATTAAACAGCTCTTCTCTCTCCATCCCAGACCAGTTAGGGGCGATGGGCGGAGAAGCCGTGGGTTCCTCTTAATCGAATTCACAAAGAATTTATTGAATTTGCAGGACACGGCTGAAGAACCCTGCGGTCAGGCAGATGCAGAGTAACGTGTGTGGATGTGTAACTCTTGTAAGGATAAAGCACGATGCTACTAACTGAATTCTAGCAAAGCGTGGAGGCACACACGAGGGAAGAGAGGTGCAGCAGATATTAAAGGATGTCAGCAGCATTTCTGTTCTTTCACACACAGTTTTGCTCTAATTTTTCTGTTGCTCCTTTGTTCTAACAGATCCAAAGCCTTGAGCGTGCCATTGTGAAAAAGGGAACTTGACTCTATGACTGCCAGAACCAACAGAGACCTTATTTCCTCTGTTTGGGTACACCACCCCTTCCCACAGATCCCTCCAAGATATCCCGACATGTAGTTAGAAATCATGAAAGGCAGAGCAGCTGTTTTTCTTACCCAAATCCTCCATGATAAGGGATCAGCCGACCGTTTTCCTCTTTGGGACAGAACCCGTGCAACATTAATAAATGCTGATGGCCGTTTATCAGAACTGGAGGCAATCTGAGCGCTATTGTCTGCGTCGGTCCTGAATAACTTCTTGGACACCGTTATACGCCAAGAGAACAGGAGAAGGAGGAGGAGAAGGAGGAGGAGGAGGAAGAGGAGGAGGAGGAGGAGGAGGGCGTCCCGTTTCTTTTCTCCAACTCTCTTCCTGTGTAATGCCTACCAGGACTTCAGACCGGTGGAGGCGTAGTTAAATAAATGTGGTTACAAGCCCGCATCCCCACCCTCCACCCTCCACCCTCCACCCTCCCGACACAACACGTCATCCTGGACATTCCTGCTCCATATTTGGGATCGAAAATTTAAACCGAGAGGCTCCTTTTGAGTTCAATAAACGTGGATGGGGTTTTGGGAAGTTGGTGTCCGTTGGGCACCTCGTTCCTTTACGCAGGACAGTTGGGGTTCCTCCCCCCCCCTAAAAAGCAGGCTCATCAAAAATGTCCAGAAAATTATTTGTTTCAACCCAATGTGAACGTAAATCTTTGGGGAGAAACATCCATTTCCCACAGTTTCATCTGGCGTCGTTCCCTAATTCTTGTCGTCATTTTAAAATAGAACTACATATTGAAAATACTTCATAACAGATTCCCATCATAATGGAGGGGTTCTAACCCTTACCTTTACCCACATTTGCATTATCACACACGCTCGATGTGTCGTTTTCTTCTCCACAGCTTACTGCCGAATTGAACACAATTTCTTGTTGTCTTTCACAGATGTTTAATTGCTAAACTTCCTCTTCTTTATGGACATGTAAATCTATGGCCTGTCAGGACTGTTTGCCTGGGTGCAGTACCACCTTCTTATGCTCATTTCAAATCAATCGGCTTACAACTCATCTAAATTGGAGAAGAGTACAGGAACAGTTCAGTTGGTGTTAAACATGGCTACATGATAGCTCAGCAACATGCCTGACTGACCTGGGATAAGTATTAAAAGAATAACAACGATGCCACCCTAAGAACAGCCTGTCTTTTATTGAGGTTTTTCTAATTCATGTGAAAATGCAGATAGAAATAACCCCATTTAAAAAAGTGTCTGTTTGAAAGCTGAAGTGTTTCATAAGGTTTGTAAAAGTGCTTTGGCACGTGGTAAGGTGTTATAAATACCACAATGTGAAGGTGTTTCCTTTGAGATCAGCTGATTGTGCCTAGCCCAAATAATGTGTGCAGTATGTCCAAATCCAGATGGACTGAAGAGGAAACAGATGTGGCAGAACTGGAACAAAAAGGAGAGGGGAAGTCTAAATAATTTCCTCTAATGATCCTGATGGGAATTGTGACAGTATGGCCAAATTAAAAGACAATTTCAGAGTACCGATGAGGCTATAAAGAGGAGACGCCGAGACAAGGCTGCAGAACTTCAAGACTTCCCACCTTGCTGTCAGACTCAGTGGGAAGTTGTTGGCTCTGGGTTCCATTTCAAGTCATCTACCCTGGTCAAAAGCTGACATATCGCCCATCGAAGTAGGAAAAATACCTCAATCTATTTGTGGTATTCCCTTAAAACTTTCAATCAAACCTCTCTGATACACTTAAATGGTTTGACGTTATCCATGGAATTTAGTTTATTGTGTCCAAAGAAATATTTTGACTGATTTTACCTGCTACCAAAAAAACCAAATTGTCCCAATCCCAATCAGGAAAAGACAGAGAATAAAACTGATGCGCTAATGTTCATTTCTATCATTAAAAAAAAAAAAGTATAGATTTCCTAAAAATAACCAATCAAAACAAAGTGGGCTTATTTTAATGACAAAAGTTTTGACAGACAAGGATTTTGCCAGTGATATATGCTGTAACTAGCCTCAATACTTATTGAAATTATTTCATCTATGATACAAGCTCAAACAAAAAACAGTCAACAAAGTAAAAAACAAAACAGGAAAAACGTTTTAATTAGGCAAGCTCACAGTTACAAGCTATGTTTGTGTGACGGAGGTGGTGGGGCTCTCATAATGTTTGTGACATGATGAATATGCATTTACAAAGTGGACAAGAAAAAGCTCCTCTTGTGTTTACTGTATGTCACAGACAAAATGTCCTCTGACCAAAAACATCCCTCTGCTGTCTAAGAGGTAACCGGCTTTGGTCTCAGTGCATGAAACACAACAACGGACTGACAAGTAGAACATACTAAAGAAACAAAACAAAAACAACATCGAAAACTTGGCAAGGATGTTCTTTCCAGGTATGAAGCTGAATCAGAAGTGTAAATGGATCAGACCAAGTGAAAGAATCAGTGGCTGGCCTGTTTGTTTGTGAAAAGAAAGCCTTTGCTTTGAAATTGGTCATGCAGTTTTTTCTAATTCAAATACTGAACTCTTACCCATGCATGTTACTTCTAGAGTACTGCGACACACAATTATCCCTCCATCTCATCCAAAATGTTAATGGTAATAATTATAATAACGCAAATACACACACTTTCACGCACACTCGTACTTTCCAAACCAACGTTTTCACTCAGAGGTTTGAGCCAGTTGGTGATTAAGAGCAAATCAAGGAGCTGGACTGCATGTGATGTGGAAACCAGAGTTTAAAGAGGAAAGAAAGAGTGAGGGAAATTGAAAGGGGGGAGGGGGGGGGGGCTGATATGATAGCATGAGGGTATTGTGGATAGGCTTGGTTACCTGTTGCTCCCATCCATCAAATTAAATTATATTACATATGCACCACTTCGCTCTTTCCCCACTGCAGTTAATCCACACACACCCACTCCCACCCGTCCCTCCGCTGCTCTTCTCCTCTCGCTGCCATCACTGCACCGCCTGCTCATTGGCAGTGCTACTGGAGTCCTGAGGCTTCATCACATCAGGGAGCTCTGGGGGGCTTGAGAAGGCCTCGACGTGCAGCTGCTCGAACATCTCATCTGTGGGGCAGAGGACGGAGACGGGGGGAAACATGAGCCCCATCGTGACAGCAGAGTTTACCGTGGCCACATAAGTCATGTTAGGACAGCTGCTGCCGTGAGCGCCGAGTGCGGAAAGTCTAGCTGGAGGAATGTGCATCACCTCAAGTAGATGTTATAGTCAATTAAGATGTCATTATAAAAATGATCTAATATCTAATGTCTTAAGTAGAAAATTAGAAACAGACATGACAAAAACTAAGCCTACTTTGCAGAAATGGTGTGTGAATAATGAACGTATACCAGAATGACTTAATGAGCAATTGTTTCCTGTATCACACAAGTCCACATCACAGTGGAATCTGGGTCCTCTCCTCTTAACAATGCTGCTCTGGATCATTTAAGATAGTTTGCTCTCATCTCAGGTCCTGCCAAACACTTCAATCAGGCTGAGGTTAGGACTTTGGCATGGCCTTGGGAAAATTCACCCATTTCAGGATAGATTTGTTGCTGGGCTTTGGATCAGCGTGCATTGCTTTGTTGTTCTAATTTCGGCCGAGCCATCCAGCAGATGGCCTCACATTTGGATGTGGAGTACTCTTCTAAGAGTAAGAGTTTACTGTCAACACGTAGTGTGGCTGCAAAACAAGACAAAATGATCACCCTTCAACCACCGTGCTTTGACAGTTGGTATGAAGTGTTTGTCCTGAAGTGTATGTGCTTGGTTTTCTGGAAAACATCTCCACTTTGTTTCAGCCTGACCATGGGACATTGCTCCAGACCAAAAACAGAAACCAAAATAGACCATGCGTAGCAACTGTGCTATCACAAATTTCATCATTTAACAGGCCAACTGAGGCCAGAAGAGTATGTGATGTAGCTTTTGTTTTTGTTTTTTTTTTATTTCACAGTCTGTCTCCTGTTCTCATGTTTCGCTTTCTCACTGTAGAATGCTGGACAGCACATGTTGGATATGGCCATATAACTCTTTTTGTACGTCCTGACAAACTACGACAACATTGGCATCAGTTTATATTTTAAAACTATGCAGGCAGAAACATGGTTCTGTGGTGGTTATAAATAAAATAACCAAATACTACAGTCTGCTGCATCTGGAAGAAGAGGGCAGTTCTAGCATAATGTTTTAAAATGCATTTCAGATAAAACTATGCTGGATAAAGCCATGTGGTGGACTGAAGTTGAACAGAAAAACTGTGTGGAAAACGAGTTGTGAGAAAATACCAGGAGATTTTACATGGGGACCAAGCATCTCCTAGAATTACAGTAGTCGTTACTCATAATTATCTACTGGCAAACAGAAGATACTAATCTGAAGGCATAAATGAGATCAGTGCAGATTAACTGGAAAAAGAACAACTTTCCATTGATTGTGCCAGTAATTTCTCAATAAAAAGCCTAAAGCAAGACTTGTAGTTCTCATTTGGGGGGGGGATATAATCAGATAGTTGTAAAATATGCAGCGACACAGGTATTGCTTGTTGTACCAGAGAGAAACTAGATATTATAGGGAAACTTATCTGATATGTAGAAGGAACAATAGCATTAGAAAAACGCACCATTTATACGGAAGGCCAGACCAACTGTGGCTGGTGCTTGAGGTCTGGCAGTCTGGTTGGTAAATCCACAGTCCCCAAGTGTTTTGCTGTCTTCTAGCAACTGATCATCCTGTGGCAAAAGAATTGAAGATATCAGAAAAGTAAATCTCCTCAAGTCCCAAAAGAGAAGGAATCTGAGTCTTAATTCTGTTTGCCAAACTGTACAAATCCGCCAAATATAAGATCCTTTAATCAGTCAAATCTATCTCATACTGGTTACTCAGCATGGTTAAATTTCTATGATGCTTCAGAAAACGAGGAACAACTCACTTTGTAAAGCCTCTGGTCTTCGGGTGGTCTTTTAAGAATTCCTTCAACAATACGCTTCAGTTCATAGACAGTGGTGGACTCCTTGGCATCTGTGAAGATGGTGGTCTTGTGACGCCGGATCATTAAGAACACATCCTAGAAGATACCAGGAACATAATGACATGTCAACAGTGGCTGTTTTGTTTTGTTTTTAGCTACAAGTCTATGATAAGCACAACAATTACCTAAGAACTTGATAAACTAAGATTAGCTCACTGTTAAACCACTTCAGCAGAACTTTTCAATAGCCCATAACAATGCTACACATTCATCTAGCAGCTGCTAAACCTAATCTGAATGTACATGTTGAGCTTTTTAATTAGACAATCATTGTTTAACAGTGTGGTTCTCACTGCCTTTGGTTTTCCATAGATTTCCTCACCATCATTTTGTATTCCATTAACAACATATACATTCCAAGGTAAAGTGTATTAAGAGTTCCATTTCACTTTTTTACTTCTGCAACCTGGTTACAGAATGTACACATGAGCAGTTCTTCTTGAATGTAGAAAGGCTATTTCCCATCCTATGGCTATGCTATATTGATATTGCACAAAATGTGGCAATGACTTCGATTGTCAAACTACAATGCGACCTTAACCACAAAAACACAGTATGTGGGAATGGTACCATGTTAAAACAGCATCTTCTCAGTCTCAAATCTAAGTACCCTAATTCCCAAAATGTTGTTTCTAAACTGTTTTTACAAGAAGATGGAACTTTTATTCGATGTATAAAGAGAGACTTCTGTCCCCAACCACATTTATCAGAGTGCACTGATCTAGGTTTGAGAAGCTTGATTTTGGTCATATTAACAGCTCTATGTAGATTTTGAAAATAATTTTGTGAAAGTAACATGGTTTCTATTTTGTAATGTCTCGACAATGTGTTTTTTGACATATTGTAGTCTTGTATTTTTTATAAGCACAACCATTAGTAAACTTTTGCAGAGCTCTATCATTTGCATACCAATACTTTATTTCTTTTGCTTCAGTTATAACTGTATGAAGGGTTAAATATAAGCATCCGCAGCATGGCTTCTCAGCCCAAATGAATTCTGTTAAATCAACAGGGACCTTTTTAACAGGGAAATTTCGACCAACAAAGAAAATTTACATTCGAGGGCAACAAAGAGTGACTGAAAGCTTTAGTACATAATTTCCCATTGTATAATAAATAGTGATTGAACTTTGTGTTTTCCCCGAAGCCAACTAATGCAGATTGGCAGTTTAAAAAATAGCTAACGCGCAAAATACCATGATAGTTGGACATTTCTGAGCTGGAAAATCCCACAGACACCAACAAAGAGCTGTAAGAAACGATGGGTTTTAAATTGGACATGGCCAATTCACTGAAGGTAATGCAAAAAAATATAAAGAGCAGATACAAAGAGGACGTAGCTGCGAGCTAGCATCAAATCCACCCTGAGTACTAAGTACTAGGCCTAACTGTTGATCTATTAGGCATTGCAGCAGAAACATTGACAGTTATATCCGTTGAACAGACTGAATACCTTGCTAAATTACTCAAGTTGTTAACCTTACATTGCTTCCAAGATTAGTCAAGCTGAGTTAACTCGTTAGCAACACCGCCAGTAACAGATGGGAGAACGAAGCTAACACAACAAGCTTAGCTTTAGCAGGATTACAAAACAAAGTGAATATAACATTTATTTAGCCTGAATCTTATTGAGCCAATCAATACAAGTTAAAACGTTATTTCTATATTGGAATAATTCTCATAAAAATATGTATAAATATATTAATAAAGTTACCATTTCAAGTGGTCAGCTAGCTAGCCAGTTACGCCAGCCCTATGAGTTGTGCAGCAGAAACCCAGACTGCACCAGTTACGGAAATTGCGCAATGAACGTAACGCCGTATACATTTCTAGTAGTTACGTAGCACTGCGTAAACAATTTAGAATTTGGCGCGATGTGATTACCAACTAGCAGAGCGTACACGCAGATCTGGAGACAACAACTATTGGAACCCCTCTGTGTTCGAAACTGGCGTTAAAACTGGATTATGGTTGGTGTGATTAAATAACCGCTCTTTATCTTTATTTTAAGTTGAAGTGTCAGTGACAATAAGCCGCGCAGTAGGCTAGCGAGGCGTTACCAGTTTGTAGTCGGTCCGCCCTTGGTTCATGTTAGCCAAATGGGTCTTACAGAGGTGACAGCCGTTAGCGCCAGCAAAAACTGAACCCTATTACTGCTTAACGCTCACGATGTCATAGGTTGATAATGTTATCATTGCGACATTGTGCTGTCAGAGTTTTCACTCTAAATTAGAATATTGCTGAAAACTGTCAATATTTATGTTTTTGATATTGATGGCTGTCTACAGGCATGAACGAATTTAATGACGCGCCCACCAGCACGGTAAAAAAAAGCCCCTCCCAGACTGAATAAGACAGAAAACAAACACAAAATGTGCAATTATTTGTTAATGATGTGGTCATTTTGTGTAACATACTTTGTGTTGAATCTGGTTTTGACTGTTTATGTTCCTTTTCAGCATTTTGAACTGCATAATTTTCTCTTAGAAGTCTTCCTGATTGTTTCGTATATCTTCATGACCCAGATTAGGTTACTTTGCATTTGTTTTTGTTTTTTTAAATCAGATTTCATTTTTCATTTGACATGTTTTAAATGAACTATTCTGAAACTGGAACAAAACCAAAAAACAGACCCATGAGTTGCTGGACCTGTTTTCAACTGGTCTGTTCACATATCCGGTCATTTCTACAGGTGAGAGTGACAGACCGGACTCAAAACCTGCTAAACAAGAAATTCAAGCAGTCAGAAATCTGTGTCAATTAATTAATTCCTGTTGTTTCAGTTTGCTTCCCTTTATCAAAGATTGAACACATTTTATTGTTTAGTTAAGCCTGTGATATTCTTCTTTGGAAGAAAGACTTTGTCATCTATAGGGTTAGAAGATGATATTTTAGTGTCAGCAGAACAGAGAATCAATGAGAAAGCCAAACCAAATGCAAAATATTGGAGCGATACATGAATTTGCTTGTGTTGAAACATTTTGATTTGAATGTTGTAGCCAGCTGTCCTCATTGATCAGAGCTGAAGAAATGCCGGTTGCAGTGGAAACAGTGCCCAGGGTGCCTCTCCCTCTACCGACCCACTTCTCCCACGCGGAGCAGTCCTTCTCGCTCAAAAAGCGCCGGCTGCCGTTTTCCTCCTCTTCTTTGTCCCCGTCGTCCTGCTCCTCCCCTGCTCGGCTTTCACACTCTCTCCCCCCACTGCCACCGTCCAAAGGATGCCCCCCTCTAAGCAGGATGTTCCCCCAGCATGCCTCCCCTTGGACACCTCTGTCTCAGTCCCTTAGTAAATCCCCCCCTTCAGATTCTGTGTATGATCCCAGTAAACAAAAGTCCTATTTCAGTCAGTGTTTTGTTAATTTGGGCCTCATTGGAAGAGGGTCATTTGGTGAAGTCTACAAGGTGAGCAGGACAACGTTTGTGTGCATGGTTGTATGAAAAAGGTCTAATGTATATTTGTGGATCTCTTAATAGAATACTGATTTTGCATTTCTTCAGGTGCACTGTCACGAAGACGGCCAGCTGTATGCAGTCAAGCGCTCGGCTCACCGCTTCAGAGGGAACGGTGAAAGGAACCAAAGTTTAAAGGAAGCCAGAAACCATGAGCGGATTAGTCCCCATCCCCACATCCTGAAGTTTGTGGCAGCCTGGGAGGAGAGTGGCCGACTGTTCATTCAAACAGAACTGTGCAGCACGAGCTTGTTGGTCCATGCCGAGCACAAGCCTTCAGGAACAGGTCTGTTTAGAAAAAGTAAAAAAATCAGAGTGAAATCAGATGGTTCTTTCATGCCATTGAGCTATGTTTGCTTTCATGGAAATGTTTCAGATGAGTCTGCAGCATGGGCCTACCTGTGCGACCTGCTGTCTGCACTGCAGCACCTGCACTCTCATGGATTTGTCCACCTGGATCTCAAGCCAGCCAATGTCCTCATGACTGACTCTGGTCGTCTGAAGCTGGGGGATTTTGGACTACTGCTGGAGCTCAAGCAGACGCACAACAAGCCCAAAGAGGCAAAAGTGGAAGATGATTTCCAGGAAGGAGATCCTAGATACATGGCTCCTGAGCTGCTCCGGGGGGAGTATGGACCGGCTTCAGATGTTTTCAGGTACATAGAGAGAAAAATCGTGTATGCTCAGAAATGTATTGGTAACTGAAACTGAAGTAATGTATTTTTTGTTTTTCTAAAGTTTGGGCGTTTCACTTTTGGAGCTTGCCTGTAATATTGAAGTTCCAAATGGAGGTGAAGGATGGCAGCAGCTCAGACAGGGCCAGCTCCCCTCAGAAATTACCAACGGTAAGACACACCTGTATCTAAGCTCCAGCAACCTGTACAGATATCTTTATGAAAGTCCCATTTTTTTAACGGCGTTTGTCCATGTTTGCAGGCCTGTCTGCTGAGCTGCTGTCAGTCCTGAAGATGATGTTGGCGCCAGAGCCGTCTGACAGGCCCACAGTCTCTGAGCTTCTTTCCCTACCCTCTGTCAGGAAACGCAGGTTGAAAAGGAACATTCATCTCCTGGTCACGGAAACTCTGCTAATGTTAGCCTCCCTTTGCAAGGTAATGTTTCTAAAGAACTACCCCCAGTTTAAGGTTTTCCTCATCAAGCAGCCATCGCAATTTAAAGTTTATAGTTAAGTATTAAATATTTTAATGCTCTACAACCCAGAATAGTGAAATCTGTTCATTCAGAGCTTGGTCAGCCTGTCTTAGAGTTTTTGTCTGGTGTGTGTTACCATGGAACTGATTTGTACACACTTGTGTGTACATATTTACCCATGCATTGTCTGCAAAACACTGCTGTTATGTTTAATGGCTTCCCAATTCGTGTATTCTGTTTTGTTTTTTCTTCATAGTTTGTGGTGTGCCTTGGGTGTAGATTCCTCTCCTCCTTTCATTTATCTTTCCTACCCCATTGGACCAAGCCAGTTCCCTGCACTCCTCCTAAGAATAGCTGGGATGGGGATTTAACAATGTCCCTTGGTACCAGTGCCCTGCAAACTGACCCAGGGAGTCTAGAGGATGATGCAGTCTTTTTGCATAACACAGACCAAGATCTTTCCCCCACCTTCTTAAACAGGTAGAGCCTTTATTTTAATCAGTTGTCGATTCATATATATATACATACAGTATATGCAACTATATATAATTATATTGTTTTTCAGGGTCAGGTCCAGACTGTCTGTGGAAAGCACGTCCACTCCTCTTCCGGGATCACCAATGCACAGACATGAAAGTTCTGCCCACACCTCCACTTGCTCGGTTTTGGGTGACTGGTCCTCCTGTAATTTAGCCCTGACCCGCTCCAGCATCCACTCAAATGGTTCCTGTCTCACACTCACACCCAGTGCAAGCCCCATACATGCTGGGTGTCTCACACCCACCTCATCTACCAAATCTTCAGAGCAAAATGGTCACAGCTGGGCTCGAACAGAAGAACCCGCAACCCGGTCCAACTTTGAACCAAAGAACCTACTCAATCTGTTTGAAGAAACGACTCTAGACGGACATCCATGAGTACAACACTGACATTTTACTGTTTTTTTTTTTTTTCTCTAAATTGTGAGGCAATGATGATCTAGCATGTGATGTTTACTGTTACCTTTATGTGAACTGTCTGCTGCTTTGTAACAGTTCTCGAAAAGCTTGTCTTAACGTGTATTTACAAAGAAATGGATTTAGGGAAAAGGTTTGAATGTGCAATCAGACCTTACAGCACTTTTTATTTCTATCTATTGCTGAAAAAACTTTGTATGATTTATTTTTTAGTAAGTTATCAGTAAGCTGTTGAACTCTGAGTAATTGACCTCATGAGTTGCAAAAAAGAAGATTGATGGAATCTATACCTATGACCATAAAGAAACTCTAAACACAAGGTTTAAAAAGTGTGCTTTGTTCTTTTCTTTATCTTTGTTTAGTGTCAAACCCCTTTTCAACCAAAGAAAACAACATATATGGTTCTGTCATTACCACTAGATGGTAGTCACAAACCACACTGCAAACTAGAACTCAAAAGTCAAGACAGGGAATGGGGAAATTTTGCATTTTGTGATGAATGGGTCTTAAATTACTGAGTTTCTTAAACACTTTTTGTTGGCAAAGTTGGTGCCATTCTTCAGAGTAATAATCGAAAATCTCTGAAATAGCTTAAAAAACGTTTTACTGGATTCTAATTAAACCACTCCAAGAGATAATTTCTCTCAATTTAGATAAATGTAAAATTTCTATTCGTTTTGTGTAAACAAAACTGGGAGAACGTGATGGATAAAGCGTAGGCTTTTACTTTATAAAATAACCGGATGTGACTGATTTTACTTCCGGAAGTCATAAATCGTTGTGTTGCGTTCAGAGTTTTGGCCATTGGTATTAAGGCAGTGCTCACGTAATGTGATATCCATAATTTGTATGTTTTAATGTTTGAATAGCCGAACCAAGGCAAATATTTTGCTGACACAGAAACCATGCGTGGGGTTGTTGACCTCTGGAATGTGTAAAGGGAAAACAGTCACGTACGGAGTAAGCTAATGTAGCTAACGTTAGCTGGCTACGTTAGTGACGTTGACAAAGAGGAACTTCTCGAGCGGCTTGCAGGTAGATCTTAAAACTGGTATAATAAATCTCTCGAACTAGTACAGTTATACAGCTATCTCACTTTGAGATGTTTTAACTCAGACTATTAACCTGATGGCTAAAAGACACACAGGTGTTCTTTGGTGACGTCATTCCTTTCACTTTTCCTTGTTTGGCATTTTAAAACTCAGACCAAGTTGGAGTCAATGTACTAATTGTCATAATCAGTATTAGATGGACGATTTGAGGATGATGAGTTTATTAATTTTGTGTAAATAATTCAAACGCCTATAAACAATTTCTTACCCTAAGCTGGTTTTAATTTCAGGATGTCTAAACTTGAACGGTTGAATGCTCGTGTGGCCAAACTGCTGACTGAGGCAGTGCAGGAGGTCCTGGTGGTGGTGAAGGAAACCGTGTTAGAATACCAGCAAAAAACAGCCCGGACACAGAGAGAGAATGAGTGTCTGAAAAGAAAATTGTTAGAGCTTCAGGACAAGGTGCCGAAAGAAGGCACAGGTGGGTTAAAGTGTTATCTTAAGGTAGTTCAGTTCATGTTGAAATTTCACACATTGAGTATTTGAATTGTGTAAAAATATTTAGTTTTTCTTGTAAAATTCTTGCAGATTTTCTGTTCACATGTGAGTTGGTGCCTGAAGGAAGAGGTGAAGCTGAGCAAGGAGATCAGGATTGCAGCATAATTCAAAGGCACAACCCTGATGGTGATCTGACAGAAGAAATGCTGGTGGACATCCACCAGCCTGATCAGGATGTGAAGCAAGAATCCAACCAGGATGGCCGAACAGACCCTATGCCACAAACTGAATATTGTAAAGCACAGCTACAAATGACTGCCCACTCAAGGGACGATTCGGTGACAGCCCACACTTCACATGAGGACAACAGGGACAACAGTGGAGTCTCTCTGACCAACGTGGCTGACTCTTGTTCTGGCTCTTCGCTGGAGGTAAATCTGGCGGCCATTAAAAGAGAAACACTGCTGACTGAGTGCACGCCATCTTCTCCAGAACAGTGTGTGGATTTAAGCTGCAACTCGTCTAGACTGTCCGCCGCAGACATGACACAAGCCAGCGCAGAGCCTTACGGGTTCGCCTTCGTCCATGCTAGCCACACTGCTCATAGAAGGGAGGGCTGCTCCAAAAGCAGCAGGGTTCTGTTTGACGGGAAGCAAATCAGGATGGAGCACGTGACGAGAGACGGCGTGCATTTGTGTCTTGTGTGTGGAAAAACTTTCAGCCGGCTGGGAAACTTAAGAATCCACCAGCGGTGCCACACAGGGGAAAAACCCTACGGCTGCATGCAGTGTGGACGGCGCTTCAGCCAGGCGGGAGACCTAAAGAAACACAAAAGGGTCCACACCGGTGAGAAGCCCTACTACTGCAGCTTCTGTGGAAAGAACTTCAGTCGAGGGGAGAATCTCAAAAGACATCAGAGGATCCACATCGGAGAGACTTTGCAGTTACAGCAAACGTTCAGGGAGCAACAGTCATGATTGTCCATCAAAGTCCAGATTAATCCAGTCTGCACAGCTGCTTAACCCATGAAGGGGTTTTTATCTGATTCTCAAATCTGTTCCCTTAAGAAATGGTATTATAAGACATAGAATGTGTGAACAGCTTAGATTATCTGGCTCATTTATCAGGTTTCATGCCTTCTTTCGCCACAATTCTTTTTTTCACACACTTCTCAAATTAACCAATGAGACCAGTGCTTTGCTGGTAGATCTTGTGAAGCCGCTCTGGTACCGTGTAATTTCAGATTTGAATGCAGTTACTTCAGCATATGTTTTTTTAACATTATGACTTGTTCTCCCTTTGTGACCTGATGTAATACCTGGGAAAGCTGGGCTCCGCAACTTTTTATCATGACATCAGCCCAGCTAAAACTGTCGGTGTGCTTTTGTGCCACTCTTGGTATCAATCAATGAAGATTTATATCTTTTGAAAACCTAGTTAATAGTTACTCTACAAATAGTTTGCTTTGCTGGCTGTTCTGAGTCTTTGATTGCCTCATCTTCTGGATCTCAGCTACAAATTTTGCAATTGGTGAGAGGTTGTATTTACTTCCTCATCTTTTTTGGTTGCCTGTTACTTCTGTCAACTGCACCCAGTGGACGCCCCCATCTTTATCAGTCAGTAAAAAAATAATTTTGTGAAGAACAAACCTTTTCCCGGTGGGGGTTGAGATCCTGCTGACATATTTCTCAGATCACAGCGCATAGCAGCATCAAGTAAATGGGCATTTAGTGGAGAAGAATGGTCTGCTGAATATTCTGAGGTCTAGTTTAGATGAAAAATCATGTTCAATGTCATGAAGTCACTTTTAGGGCTTGAATCTCCCTGACTGCAGTTTAAGATGTGCTTCAATTAGCGTTATTACTCTGTTGTAGGAAGCCTTGGATTGAAGTTGTTGATGCAAACTGCTCGTATGTGAAGTAAACGATGAAGCATTAAAAATGCAGAGCTGCATGATTGTTTACAGATAGATTCAATGCCTGGTAACTGTTTATGTTCATTTCACATTTAGAAGGAATCAGGGGAGCAATAAATTAATTTATTACAACACAATGTGCCTCTGTGAATGGCTTTTCAAGAAAATAACTCTTTGGTACTCAGATTCACGACCCTCTTAACGACCAGTTAGATATGTCGCCTTAAATTAACCTGGTCGATCTGCCCGACATCCCCAATATGTTTGGATTTATGGGCTGCATGCGAGAGAAAAGGGACTTTGTGGATTAAACAGAGTAGATGTCATGTTTTAAACGAGTAACCAACAAACAGCAACACACAGAACCACTGTTTATTGGGGGAATTTGCCCAAACTTTCACATGGTCTCCTGTGTGGAACCAGGCTGGAGTGACATTTCGAATGCAGATCTTTGTAGGATGCTGTCCAGTTCACCCACACAGGGTTTTTAAGAAGACAAGAGCCCAGATGTGCAGTAGGGAACTAAATCTGACCCCCCTAAACACCCCTTATCTTGGGACTAGCTCCTGGTCATCGCTTTCATTTAGGAGTCCTATTTGAACAGCGTGACTCTGTCAGGCGTGACCCAACCTCAATGAACCCCCAATTGTTCCCCTAAAAGTGTGCGCGAGGGCAGCAGTTTGCAGGTGAAACGCTCGTGCTGGAACGCGCCTGGCTGCTGAGCGCGTGCGTGTGCCGGGAGCGGTTGACGTGGAGCTGCCCTCACCTACCAGACCAGGAAGCGGCCGACTGCCATCCAGTGGGGGGGGAAACTGCAACGCCGGCGTCCGAAAGGTGAGCAAAAACCACAACCACGTGGAGAAACTTTCGCTTCCTAATTTCCTCAGACGTCCACACTTCGCAACCGGAGGCTCGCGCTCAGTCTCCAACAACAGACAGCATATTAAACAGTTGTTTGAGGAAATAGGGAAGTAAACATCATTGTTTTCAAAGTCCCCTCTAATGGGCATCGGGGGCTTCCTGTATATTTCTTCCCCCCCCCCCCCATATTGGAGCTACTTTGTAAGGAACAACAGTACTAATTCCCCACAAACATGCTCGCGGCTGCATTTAAATGCGGAAGTCTGCCTAACGTGGTTGTTTTGTCATTTGGTGGCAGGTTCTGTGCTGAACACACTGCAATGTTGAAATGAAGATTGATGAAAAGGTTGTCAGTTATTTTGGGTTGTGCAACTCACCGGTGGACAAAGAGGGTTACCTTTCCAAAAAGGTAAGACCTACACCCTCCTTCTTTCTTGGTTTTATCACCCCCCCCCCCTCCCTCTCTCTCTCCCTCTCTCTCTCCCTCTCTCTCTCTCTCTCTCTCTCTCTCTCTCTCTCTTCTCTTCTCTTCTCCCTTTTTGTAGAGTAAAAAATGAAGAAATGTTGTGTGTTGCTGCTCAAAGCAGTTGTTTCAGACCCTGGTTACATAATGAACTTGTGAACAACTCAGTAACCCCCAGCGTATTTCACAGGGTGAACTGAAGACTTCTTATCAGAAGCGCTGGTTCGTGCTGAAGGGGAACCTCCTTTTCTACAAGGACCGGCAGGCAGACCGGGACCTGATTGGAGTGATTGTTCTGGAGGGCTGCACCGTCCAGCTGTGCGAGTCGGAGGAGAATTTCGCCTTCTCTCTGGTGTGGAGCGAGCCGGGGCTGCGCACGTACAAGTTTGCCGCGGAGGACCAGGTCAGTCAGGAGAGCTGGATCAAGGCCCTGCTGTCGGCCAGCCACAGCTACCTGGCCCTGCTGCTGCTGGACATGGAGAAGAAGTACAGAGGTGAGAGTCCGAGTGACCTTATCTCTGCGGGGGGGGGGATGACAGCGACCTTTGTTCTGGAGAGCAGCTGTGAGAGGCGTTGCATCACCGCATCCAGCCTCCACAACACACACCACGTACGCTGTGGTACAGCCAGGGAGCGCCACAAACTGCCTATTTATCCGTATACCGAAAGGCTACTTGTTTAGTCTGACATTTAGGGTGATGCTAAACCATTTTTTTCTCTGAACGGATTAATCTGCTTTTGTCAAAAATGATGACAGAGTATCCTGTGAAGACAATGTGCCGTCTGGTTTTGTCTGACCGTCAGAGGAGCGCCATTTACAGCCTCAATATGATCCAAACGCTGCTATTTATGGCAGAGTTCTTTGTTTAAAATAAAGGGCTTTGCTTCATGGCTGATCCTGCTTTTCACTGTAACGAATATGTGATTACATAAACAGCACTTGCAACATTCTTGTCAAACTTAACAGAGGATATATAATTAAAGGAAGCATTTCAAGAATATGTTCTCTTCTCTTTTGTTCACTTATTGCTTAGTAAAGTTCTTCAGAAACAGTCTTTTGAGTGGTAATAAAACCATAGCGTAGATGTGAATTCATCACGAAAGATACAAAGGACTGGTGGTAGGTCCGACAGTTGGATCTTTTTCTTGTCCGAACCAACAGTCATCTGGAAAACACACACAGTCCCAGCAGCTGCAGCCTTAGAGATGTTGTGATGTTTTCATTCAGCCATTTTCTTTTCTTTTTCCCTCAGATGCGTTTGATGGATTTTCCAGCGAACGGGGCAAAAGCTTCACAATGCCAAACTTCAGCACGACTGCGGCGGACCAGCCGGGGGCCTGCCTGAGCCAGCGCACCTCAGCCCTGTCTCTGTACATGTCACAGGCAGCCGGGGCCCGACCCAGCCAGCTGCTTCAGCCTCAGGCCGTTCCATCCTCCAGAGCCGCCAGCAAGAAATCCCCAAAGCTGTGGCCCAAGAGGAGCGCAAACACGGTGCCCGCCAGCGGCGCCGCCCTGCCCACCATGGAGTGGTCCGGCTTCCGCTTAGGCACACAGGAGGATTTTAGTAAACTCCATGAGGATTTTGGAAAGGAGGTAAAGGATCTGATTGTCGATTGGTCAAGAAGGGGACGTGCTGGTGAAGTTGTTCAGAGAGACAACTTGATAGATTTTTGATTATAGATGTGAAGTTTACTGCTTCCTAAAAAAAAAAATCCATCATTACAAAGCTACAATAATGTGAATATTAACGGTCAAAGTTTAGTGTCGATATTTAGACGTAGATGTATAATTTTTCTTTTTTTTTACTCATTGTGCCTTAAATTAACAAATGAATAATACCGGTCCTTCTGTGCCACTGCACATCATCAGTTCAGATGAAAACCTGCAATACTGAACAATGAGGTCATGACCAAAACCAAGTCTTCTCACAATCAGTTTACAGAAGTTGTTAAGTGGGAACAAAATGAGGGTACAAGCTTTTTTTAAAAGCAGATGTAGAAGTGTAATCATTTTGTTACCGAAAAAATGTTGTGATTTTTTTACAAGATTGGAATGCTTTGCTCAAAGCAATTACGGTACACAACCAAATGAAGAGACTGTTGTCATTACAGTGCTGGTATTTCTTTCCAAAATTTTTATAAGCTCTTTTAATATAGACACAACTGTTGCTGCACTCACAGTATATCCACAGATGTCAGTCAGAATAGCTAAGAGATAGTTATTTTTCAGTTTTAAATCAAGATTGATCTGGTTATAGAGTAAATAAACAGGATCGTGACTCAGAGGATATTTGATTTCATGCAGGATCAATATCCTTTGGTTTATCACAACAAATGCACTCACATTTAAAACTAAGACCTATTACTTCTAACGTAAAAGCTTTTTTGTGACATTATGCTTGTAGTTTGTCTGAAGGTGAGTATATTGGTATCAATGTGAGAAAGAAAAGAAGATTTTCTTTGAGTCGTTTGGGGGCACAGCAGGCCAGTAAGCCTGAAGTCTGTTGGATTTTACTTGAGAGTCAGAATGGCTGAGAAAGAGAATGGTGGGGGGTAGCAGAGCTATTTCAGTCTGTACAGCTGTCTTGTTTTTATGGTGTTTGACTTTGCCTGGTCTTTCTTCCTACGTGTCTCTCTTTTCACCTTCAAGCCCAAATCAGTAACTGGATTCTGAATGCAAATATATCAGGAAATGATTGTTTGTTTCAGAAATAAGTAACATAGCTCACATAGAAGTATTTGGGTCAGTTTCAGCATGTGAAATATTTGCCCTACACCAGACGCCGTATCGGCTCAGGCTGCCACTGAATCCCTATACATTTCCTTAGCTGTACAGTGGCCTGATTGATGGCAGCCTATGGGGCTCATATATGGAGTTAGGTGGGTGGGTCACTGTTCTAAAGCGGGGAACCTCCAGGAGCAACCAAAATTAGTGCATCCATGGTAAGAAAACTGCTCATTCAAGTAAAACATTGTAGTTTCCTATTGCAGATGATAATGTTTGAAAAAGAGGATACTTAAAAGAAGATGTATAGGATTTGTGATACTTTGTTTCATGACACAAAAACATTTAAATTGACTTTTTATATTTTAAGAATCAACTTTGTTTTAGCACAATTCAGTCTGTGTTTTATCCTTTTGTAAAGTTTTGTTTTAAATTTTTGCAAATAAATTCCAAAGTTCTGTCTGTGAGATGCTTTCTTCCATCTGTGTCAGTATTACAGTGTTGTTTGTATTTCACATTAGTGCACAGACACTTGAGGACTAGTTTTAAAGTGTCATCCCTGGAGTTGGACCAATGTCGATCCGCCAACGGTTTTTATTACGTGGTAATCAGTGTAGGTTTCATTACTGTTTATATACTCTGATGTCGTAGTGGGCGCTAACCTCAGATCAGACCTATCACTTATACAGCTGATGACTTCAGGATCTGTTAACACCAAACACATGTTGAGAAATGAGAAGATCGAGTGTGTTAATTATTAGAAAGCAGTGGTTAAGTAGGCTGCAGGATAAGCGTCCCATCTGTGTTTGGATTGTGGGAGTAAAGCTGCCATATCCTTTCATCACACCTCTGAGGTTTCTTTTCTCTCAGTGATGGTAAAGTTACGTGGGATAGCCACGACAAAGGCCAAACAAAGAGAGAATCTAAGCGAATCAGGGGAGTCTCAGCACATTCCATCGTCTGCTTGGCCTTATTAGTCCACAGATGACACTAAAGTTAAGCCTGACTGTTGGCATTGAATTCACCTCATTCCAAGACTCGTGCAGCCTATTTTGGAGAGTCAGTAAACCGATATGTTCAGTCTCGTCCTCACTCCTCCCTGTTTCTCTAACTCTCCCTCGGCTCTGCTTTCCTGCCAAACCTGACAGTGTGGCTAAAGTTAGCCTCCGTGGGCTAGTATATAATGCCCCAAGGGGCCAAAACATTCATGTCAGTCACATCGGCTTGGCGTAGGCTTCTCTTCTTGACCACCAACAACCCCACAAATTTGAGAGATGGTGAGTGTAGCCACGTTCCTCGGATGAACAGTCTCTAGGATGTAAAATCTTCTCAACTTTAAAAGCTGATGAGATGAGCGCATCACTGATGCACATGGAATTACCAACGTCACATGAAGTGAAATTGATTTTTAAACTGAGGCTACCAACTGCAGATTTGAACCCAGCGTCAACCTTCGCTGGCTTGAGCTAATATTTGGAAAACACAACCTGATCAAGATTAAATATTTTTATCGAATCATTATGGGCCTCGTTTGTCAAAAGCCTACCTCCCACCTCAAGTTATTATGTGGTAATTTATCATTAACTGGATGACAGATGAAAAGTTATGCAAAAACAAACAAAAAGGAAACATTCATAATATTTTTTTATTCATGTTTTGAGTGTGATTTAGTTGACAACCAGTTAGTGTTTTTTTTTTAAGTGCTCATGGGGCTAATTCGGATCTCGTTTGGTTGTTTTTGCGATTTATCTGGATTTATGTTTGCATGCCTTAAGTGTGTTTTGGCTTTTCCCATCTTCCAGGCACCCAAGAAAGCCAAGAGGAGGCAGCAGCAGGGTGAGGGTGGATCCTCCAATGTGTTCTCCATGTTTGAGCAGAGCCAGATCCAGGAGTACAAGGAGGTAACATTTTCTTTTATCACAACTCTCACACTTCAACAGATGAAAATCTCTGGGGGACACATGTAAAACTCTCTGTAGTGTTGCTGTAATAATTGACGGTTCCATGTGTCATTTTGACCTCTGTGGTAATTCAAGGGGGCTTCTTAATGACCAGGATCTTATTAGATGACAAAAATGTCCCTCGTCGACATGACAGGGCTGTAAATCTGCGCCTCTCCACTGACAGGAGCTACGTACCCCCTGTGCCTGCTCAGTAATTCTCCTTGGAGACATTTGCAGCATGACTCCTTTGGAATGCAGCCCAACAGCTGGTGGAAAGTCAAATTAATCAAAGCGGGAAAGAGGGGCTCAAGTAGAAAGACCAAGAAAACATTTGATGTGTCTAGATCTAAAGATGAATCAACACTTGGGGATTATCATGGATTTAAAAAATGGTGATGTCCTCCCTCAAAATTATTTTGCCTTTTTACAGTAAGATCTTGTAAGACTTTGATCTTCTTGGGAAATGTATTTTTACTTGGTAGAATTTAGGATAAATCTTTACGATTTTCCATCTGTATACAGTTAAAGTTGACAGAAATCACTTCCCCAACAGTAGCTCAGCTGCCCTGTTTGGAGGTATCCAAAGGTGAAAGGACATTGGTAACATGGTCAGAAGATTCGGTCACAAGGCAAAAGGATGACAGCTGTAATCAATACCTTCTCCTTAAATGTCACAAGGGGCTTGTCTCACATTCCAAAACCATTTTAACACCTTAGAGACACAAGTTGCCAACCAGCTGCCAAGTCCGAAAAGGATTGCAATGCCTTCTTTGGTTTCACTGGCTGATACATACAGCTATGTGGAAAGAGAAGTGAATAACAGCTACACATTTACGCGTTTACGGTGGCAGACTATCCCCCACTTATTCTCACGATTAACAAGTCTCTTCATGAGTAGATGTGAGAAATTTGAGAGTATCTGATTTTATGTTTTGTTTCTTAGTTTAACTGAAGTTTCATATTGAAGAAGTAATGGCTTTTGAATGCCTCATTATGAAGACGCAATTTAGCTTTCAAAATCTTTCTATCTTTTTTTTTTTCTTTACACCGTTCCTCGGGTAGGCTTTCACAATCATCGACCAGAACAGAGATGGCATCATCAGCAAGGACGACCTCAGGGACGTGCTGGCCACCATGGGCCAACTGAATGTGAAGAATGAGGAGCTGGAGGCCATGGTGAAGGAGGCCAGCGGCCCCATCAACTTCACCGTCTTCCTGACCATGTTCGGCGAGAAGCTGAAGGGTGAGGCTGACACTTGACATTTAGTCATTTCCCCTTACTTCTTTTTTTTTTTGTTCCATTTACTGTTACTTTCTTTAAATAGACATACAAAATATCATGACTGACTTGCATTCACTCTTAGGCGCTGATCCCGAAGATGTCATCGTGAGCGCTTTCAAGGTCCTGGACCCCGAGGCCACTGGCGCGATCAAGAAGGAATTGTAAGAGCTCTCAGCTTTAATGTCTACCTCCACTCCAAGTTCTTTATTATCTCACATGAATATTCTGCTCTTTCCCTCTCCAGCCTTGAGGAGCTCCTGACCACCCAGTGCGACAGGTTCAGTGCTGAGGAGGTGAGCTGATCGGTCCTGGTCTGACTCTTATTCCCTCATAACCTTCGCATGTCCAGGGCTGTAAGACGTCTCTCTTATTGGTAACTGACAGATGACCAACCTGTGGGCTGCATTCCCCCCCGATGTGGCTGGCAATGTGGACTACAAGAACATCTGCTACGTCATCACACACGGAGAGGAAAAAGAGGAGTAAATTCTCCCCTCTCAAGATCCCGTCCTCCGTTCAAGCTCGTACTTGTGCCACCATCAACTCACCCCCCCATCTCCAACGCCATGACTTCCTTGCACACGTTCGCCCCCCGGCCTACTCTTTCCGCTCGCCAAATTCAAAACGAAAAGACTTCTCTCCATTGCCGAGATACTCAGCGAGAAGATGGGGGGCTGTGGGGGTGTTTGTGTGTGAGTACCAACAGGGGAACATGGGATTATTTTCAATAAAAAAATAATCTTGTGACACTGAAACACTCTCTCTATCTCTGTCCCTGCCTCTTGTTCCTCCTCCTTTCTCCCCCCATTACTCATTCTGTCCTTCTGTGTTGAGGCCATCAGTGCGTGCATCATACCTACGTACAGGGCGCATGCAGATGCAGTCCAGTGTAGACAGCGGTTGGTCAAATCGTCTCTTGGGTGCTGTGGTGCTTGCACAGTCACTTGCTTGAAACAAGCAAGCAGTCTGACCCAGGCGGTCTTTTAGTCTCAACCTTTCACAGATTGTTTAATGGCTCTCTCACTTCGTGTATTGGAGAGCAGAGGACAGTGAAAGAGTCGGAGTACTGTACTATAATAGTTTGCCTACTCCTCTCTTTTAACCTGTCTCTGACTCCGGTACGAGCAGGTGTGAAAGGAAAAGTTGGGGTGAAAAGAGGAAAGCACAATTAAAAAAAAAGTCTTGTAAATAGAGAAAGAGATGGTGAAAGATGGTGAGTGGGGGAAAGAAAGAAACAAAAGTAAAACTTCTTTGTTTTGAACTTTTCTTTCCCCCCCTCTCCACTGTTTCTCTCCTGTTGATGTGACTGTGTCTGTCTCCACTGTAACAAAGAAAGAAGTACAAATAAACGCCACATTCTTTCGTACCACACTGTGTCTTCTGGTTTAAGTGGGCATGGGTGAAAGCACTGCTGGATGTCTGAACAGCCCTGTTGAGCACTGACTGCATTCTGACCGTTCAATACATTCTGGCAATACTACCAGGACCGACTGGATCACTTTTAATAATAACAGATAATAGTCAAAACTATTGGCTTTGAAGTCCACTGTCCCAAAGATACAGTTTTATTAAATCATTTTCCAGCACAGCTCTGTTCTTCAGTTATTGCCTTATAAGTCTTTTACTGGTCACAAGTGAACCATAAATAAATGTGACAACGCCAATCAAATCACATGTTTCATAGTCTCTTGGCCCTTGAAGGATTAAGATTCATGACATGCTGAGCATGATACAGGAGCACGCAAGGTTTAACACTCTTTGTTCAAGGTCGTTTCCTTTGTTGTTCGCTGGCACATACTCAACCATCATATATATATTTACATCACAGGTTTGAACATCTCAAAATAATTTTACTGAAGGAAAGATCATCCCAGGGGAAAGAAACATTTCTGATGGAAAGGATCAAATTCTCCACTGGACTACAGAAAATTGATGAAATAGCTAAGGTAGCTTTAATTTATTCAGGTATGTTCATTACAATGAGACAGTTTTGAATATGAAATATGTAGGCATTATCTTGTAAACCATCACTACTTCCACTATTTATGTGTATATATACACACATCAGTCATCCTTGATATGAAAGAGTGAATTTTGAGAAAGGCTATGTTTTTTTTGTGTTTTTTGTTAAACTTAAAATAATCAATTAAATAATTACAGAGAACTCCCTGGGATGTGTAACCCAATAGGAATGTGTAATTACAATATTTGTTACCCAATAAAAGTCACCAGTCATTTAGTAGCAGATATAACAATCAAACAAATAATAAGACAAATAGGAAATCATAACTAAAGATTAGTAATTCCACGAAAAATACATCAAAGCATCATATGACCAAGTCGGGTACTTTTTTAATCATAACAGGATCTAAAGCTGACATGGACTGAGTTTTCTCCCACCCAATAAAAAAGAAAATCGGTGTTCCTTTAAAACATAAACTTTGGGTCTATCTAGTTTTTCACGTCTAGACTGGAAGTTCAGGTTTGGAGCTGGAGACTGTGGTACTGAGGGCGTAGCCCCATGTTTTCCCACTCAGAGTTAACACCCGCAACCAGCCTGGTTTTGTTTTGAAAATATCCACCGGAAGTGCTGAGTGGGAGTGAAACCTCTCCTCCCCGGGCAGGCTACAGGGAAACCGTGGGCACCGTGGAAGCCCTGCCGTAACTCTGTGTGGCGTCCCCCCCCGTCTAGTTTTAGTTCCCACACACTCGCAATGACCCCGTGGTGACGTGGACCGTGGGCCCAGAGCCGCTGCCGTCCCGCCGTGCCTTCGCGGGTCCTGACGGGCCGAGACCTGCCGCCATGGCTCCACTGCTTCCGCGCCTCACATCTGTCAGACCGCCCGTTCTGGCCGCTGTCGTTCTGCTCCTGGTGTCAGTCGGCGGCGTTCGGGGCTCTCAAGGCGACAAGGAGCCGGTGTACCGGGACTGCGTGAAGCTGTGCGTCCGGACCAACTGCACCGGAGCCCGGCTGCGGGGCTTCCAGTCCGCCCAGCCGCGGTACATGGCGCTGACAGGTGGGTCAGGTGAGCCAGGTGGGTCCGGCCACCGTTAGCCCGCTAGCCGCGGACGTCTCGGCGGAGGAGCGTTCGCTTCCCTCCGCATCGGTGTGGTTCGGTCGGCGCGCTTTAGCGGTGGGCCGGGTGGAGCTCACCTGCTGCAGTTTGGCCTCAGACTGGGCTCTTCTCCTCATTTCTGACCCGACGCAAAACATGCCGCTGCTCCGTAACGTGAGACGATTCCCAGCGAGTTTCTTAAGGTTTTTCTGATTTGCTTACCATTAACATTTATAAAGTAACCCATCGATTGAGATTGAAAAGTTCCCAAACCATCTAAAAAGGAATCAGAAACCCTTTTTTTTGTCCAGCTGTTTTGACATTTAAAACAGGGAAGATAATATTTTAGCGCCGCCTGCAGCCAACTAATAATGTTCTAAAAGAGAATTAGAAATGGAGCCTCCTACGGTGTGGTTCAGTTGGACCTAACCCGGATAGAAGAACCTGGACATTATGCCACAAACAGTAGAATGGTTATTGTTTATAGAGTGAGATCAGAGAACTTCCCAGAATGATTTTACTATGAACTATTTTGTGAGATGATCTGGGTTCGTCAGTCTGATTTGGCTCCTTATATTTGTCTCTTTGCCCTAGGTTGGACGTGTCGGGATGACTGTCGGTACCAGTGCATGTGGACCACCGTGGACCTCTACCAGGCCGAGGGCTACAGGATCCCACAGTTCCATGGCAAAGTTTGTATAGAAACTATGAATTGAGAGTTTTTTAAAAAAAAAGATATGGTATTTCAACGTATTACACGGTTCGAGTCAATCTGAAAGAATCTGTGTGCGCGTGTTGCTTCTCCCAGTGGCCGTTTGCGCGCTTCCTGTGCTTCGAGGAGCCAGCATCCGCGCTGGCGTCACTGCTCAATGGCCTGGCCTGCCTTCTCATGCTGCTGCGCTACCGGAGCACCGTGCCACGCCAGAGCCCCATGTACCACACCATCAACGCCTTTTCTCTGGTGAGAAATGCTACGGGAGAAACAAGGAAGACACTCACCTCCAGTGTTTGCTCGATCTGTCCTGGACAGAGCTTATTCAATGAGAACTTCTGTGTGTGTTTGCCCAGGTGTCTTTGAATGCGTGGTTGTGGTCTACAGTCTTTCACACGAGGGACACCTATCTCACAGAGGTAATGGTTGTGATTCCTTCATATGTGTAATAAGGCCTTGTTTGTCAGAGAGACTCTCAGAGCAAAAAGAATAAGCTCACCTCTCAGCTCCATTTTGATCCACTTATTCTCAAGTCAAATCTGCATTCATTGGCAGCAGATCGCTGCTTATGAGCAGAATGTGGTCAGAGCTGTTGTAATGCAGAACACAAACCAGCAGCAGAAATCAGCAAGCCGTGGGTTGATGAAAGCAGCCTTTTCAGTTTTTATGATTCAGTGTTAATCAGGAGAAAAACAAAACGATGTAGTTTCATTTCACGCGGAGAGGAAAAACCTAAAAAAAAACTGGCCCCACCTGCTGAGATCACTTTGCTTGCCTAATGAGCTTAGTAAATTAGTGGCCACTTAATGACATTACTGATGAATCCTCCACTATTGTGCCATTTGGTGTCTTAAAAATTCCATCAGCCGCAGCTCCTTCCTGTTTCCTGACGTTGCTTTGTGTAAAATATATTTGTTTCTTATTATTTTCTAGAAAATGGACTATTTCTGTGCAACAGCTGTCATTCTTTACTCAATCTACCTGTGTTGTGTCAGGTAAGCTCTGTGACTGGGATTCCATGTTTACTGCAGCTACACTACTAACAAAGCAACACTGAATACATGATCTCACCAATTATACACCCTGGATAGGTCGCCACTCCCATCATAGGGCATTAACAAGCGTAATGACAGAAAAATAAAAGCCGGAAACGATGTGAGATTTTAGTCAGTGTAAAGCAATTGTCTTGTAAACATGTTATAACAGTGTCCCTTCTCTCTTTTCCAGAACTTTGGGCCTGAGGCGACCTGGGGTTTCCAGCATGGTGGGAGTCCTCCTCATCTTGGTCTTTACATCGCATGTGTCCTACCTGACCTTTGTCAGCTTTGACTACGGCTACAACATGGCAGCCAACGTCACCATCGGTACAGTAGCGGCTCACATTTGAATTTGACAGATTCATGATGAGACATACAGTTGTTGCCTTTATGCAGTCACAGTCAATGAATGCATTTATATTTACAGGCATGTCATGGTTTTGTTAAACGTCTAGTAGTTTTCAACTCATTAAGACTCATGAAAACATAGAAATGTTTTTATATGCAGCAATTAACAAGAATACTAAAATATATCCAGTTATGTCCAGCATACTGCACCTAAAAGGACCAAAATAACCTGTGGAACATTACCCATCTTTGACATTTGGTGGTGAAAGTTTTTATTGTTTTTTATGTGATCTGTGGAGCCATTTGGTCAGTTTTATCTCTCTTTTTTTATTTAGAAAAAAATGTCTGAATTGTTATGGGATAGCATTGTCTGATCTGGTTCCCTGTCCCTCATATATTTGTTTGGCTTCTCGCCTTTCAAGGCATGGTGAACCTCCTGTGGTGGCTGTGTTGGTGCTGGCAGAACCGCCGGACCCTCCCGTACTGGTGGAAGTGTGGGCTGGTGGTGCTGCTGCTCCACGGCCTGGCCCTGCTGGAGCTGCTGGACTTCCCCCCCATGCTCTGGGTCCTGGATGCTCATGCCGTCTGGCACCTCAGCACCGTCCCAGTGCACTTCCTTTTCTACAGGTACGGGCCTCCTTTGTTTCACAGCGTCACAAAGAAAGAGGAGTGTTGGCCACAGAATGCTATTTAAATGTTGGAGACATTATTGATGCTTGGTGTGTTCTGAAGGAAAAAAAACTGCTAAGATTTAGTTACCTGTTTACGAATGTCTTCTTTTTTTTTGGCAGTTTCCTGATAGATGACAGCCTCTACTTATTAAATACAGAGAAGATGGGTGTTAAAGTCGAGTAGGAGGACCTCAGCGCCTCTTCATCACGCCTCCGTCCATGCACCTTTCCAGTCATGGTGGACGGACACCTGGACACTGAAGTAGCTCCGCCTCCCAGACGATATGCATGACACCACTGACTTTCATCAAAGTAGTCTTTGTTTACATTTTGCGCCTCTATATTTTTTCTCTGTGCATTTTTCGGGGGTTTAAATTGTCACGATTAATGCTCGCTTTACTTTGCCTTGAATGGCCATGTGTGCCACTCTTCTTTATTTATATATATCACCACATTAATACGGGATGCCACGGGATAGGTTGAAAGGCACAAGGGTTAAATTTGACTTCCAGCTGAGTTCGAATCCCCTTTTTGGGGTCTTTCGGACTTCCAAAACCGATCCCCAGAACATAGAAAACAACTGACAAAAAATCAAACAGAGACCGGACATGTGCAAGTAGCAGTTTGCTGTTCCTGACAACAGATGGCACCAGATGCGTGCTCAGGCAGGCCCGTGTGTGTGTGTGTGTGTGTGTGCAGTACAACGAGTTTTCTGTGCCAAAAATGGACGGGCAGACACAGAGCAGTTCCCCCCGTGAGGAGGGGGCTGCCCGCTGACTGTTCTAGAGAGAGGGAGAAGAGGCTTTATGTTGGAGGCCATTCCAGCTGACTGTGTTTTTTTTCTTCTCACCATCACACCTTTATTTCGGTGCCTCTCTTGTTTACACTGCACTTTTTTTTCTTTCTTTGGTCGGCATCATCACCCAGTTTTATTTTGATTTTAATCAGTTGCCTTATTTGATTTTAAGTGTTGCTGTTGACCGAGTTGTGCTTTATTCTGCTGACTTAATGTACTTTAGTTTTTTTTTAAGTGGTACATGCCTGAAGAAGAAGAAGAAGATGATGATGATGAGGAGGAGATGAAAATATTTTCATTCACCTGGATTGCCTTTTAGTGTGAGGACGGTTTGATCAAGGAAGGAGAAAGAAGCATTTCAACATGGAGCTTTGGTAAACTTTTTCCACATCAGATCAACTCTGGATTTAGCTGTGTTGTGTGTGTGTGTATGTGTGTGTGTGTTTCTCTGAATACTCAGGATTTTCTTTCATACATATGATTTAGATTTTGTTCTATTTGTTTTTGAATGATTCCCCAAAATGACACACACAGCACAAAAGCTGTGTATTACAGCTCCATTTAAAAATTCTACGTCCATCCATGTCTGCCTTACTGGTATTAAAACCCGATTATCAGCATGTTTTTTCTTTCTTTTTTTCCGTTCAAACAAGTGACACCAAAATAAATCATTCCACACATGTCCCCATCCTTCCACCAGCGTGTGTCCAGTAGCGTGTGTTTTGGTTTGAAACGCGGCCCGTGCTTTTGTGTGTCCATGTGAGAATGTGAACAAAGGCCAGTATGTGTGTACACGTTGCCTTCTCCGGACATTGTGTTGTTTGTTTTATTGGGTCTTTTTTTTTTTTTTTGCCGTCACAGGGTGAATCACTGTGTGTGTGACAGAGTGTGAGACTGAGCTCGAACCTTTTGTAAACGTGTATATGAATACATGATATATCTGAGGTTTACCAGCCATGTGTGAGACAATGCAGACATTTAGCTTTGCTGATGGCTGCGTGTGGGGGTGGGTGGGGGGAGAAGAGGGGGTGACAGACACAGAGAAGCTATTTTGGGGAGTGGGTGGGGGGAAAAAAAGGGTTATTGTCAAGAAATATTGTTGAGACGCTGCAGTTCTGTGATTTATTAATAACGATGATGATGATTTTGAACAGTTTCTAATTGAAGTATGAAATGCACCAGAGTTCATCAACAGGTGGATCCCTTCTGACTTTGTATAAAGACCTTTATATGAAGAGAATATTTCATAGTTTGGATGAAGAGCGGAGTAAAAACCCCCTTGTCAAAAGCTCAAACAGTCACTTTAATGGTGTTTGAACAATTAGTAAAATGTTAAAGATTCCCTAAAGTGGACCTCTTGGCTTCGACATTCATTTCACTGTTTCATGACTGAGCAGCTCCTCCCTCTGCTGCCCTCTGCCTGCTGCCTTGTTCACCACCACCTTTAGCTCCACCTCACCTCTAATATCTGACAACAACAAAAAACACATCAGAAATTGAATAAATATTCTTTGACGATAAAGAATTAAGCTTGTTATTTGCTGAAGCTGTTGAATATGTTTCTCTTGCTCTGTAAGGTATGGGATCACTTTGTTGATCGCATTTGTTGTGACTGATGAGAAAAAGGACATTGAAACTGTTGCAAAATGCCTGATGTGAACGCAAGCAACCGAGAGGAAAATCAGAGAAAAGCTGAAGCTCGCTGCTGTTGGATGAAGCAGTTCACTTACTGACACAAACACTAAGCAGTGGCTACCTTATTAAAAGTGATTACCAGCATTATCAGTTGTTCACATTTATTTATTGATGTACTTATTTTTTGTTTAGATTTTTGCATTTAATGATACTGAATTCAGTCATTCCTGTCACAGCTCCAATCAAAAAGTTTTTTTTTTTTAATCTTAAGGCATTTAAAACATGCAGTTGAATCCAATTACAATCCAACTCCTTAAAACCCAAGTAAAACTAAATAAGATCCCAATGAGTGCAGTTAATAAAATCTTGGCTCATAAGAAGTTGCATATCTAATGATACCAACCATATAGATTGGATTTTCTCTTTGATTTAATACCCCAGAATGCAATTTGGAAAACTGAACTGAAAAATGCTTTACTGACACCTGAAAAAAGACCTTGCAACTACATTTTGTTTTTAAAAAAGGAGGACAAATACTTGAAAAATGTTTTACAAAACTGCACTAAACATGCTTGGAAAGTCGAGGTGAGGAACTTGGGGTTCCAGATATCCCCAATAATGCATGTGTATATGTATCCTGGCAGCATCACTGGCAGAGAGCCACAGGTTAAATGCCAACCTACCTGTCTTTCTGCCTGTGGAGACATGCTGAAGTGTATAATTATATGTCCGCATATTTGTCCAGATATGCTTCTGTGCCAGTGTATTCCTGAAATATCCTTATCAGCGTGACCCCCCCAGCTCACTCATTTAATCTGTTAGGGATCAGGTGTTAATGGAGGACCTTATAACAACAAGACAAAAAAAACAACAAAAAATAAATAAACGTGAAGCTAACTCAAATGCATTTCTGCGGTTCACTACTCCGTTCCTCCACTGGAGCTGGAACGGCTGTCAACCTTGAACCGTTTTTGTCTGTACTGCTCTTCTATTTACAGGATGTCGTGTCTTGAATAAAATCAAAACAGATTCTTGAAGGCCTTTGTCTGGACACATGAAACTCCCGTGGCAGCTCTTTGTCCAGGAGTTTCTCTGCTGAAGCTGAAAGCGACTGGGGCCGTGTCCCGTCCGTGTTTGTGGGGAGTTCTGCTTCTAATGGTTAAAAGTAAGTCAGCTACAGGAGAATAATGATGTCTGAAACAGCCTTTTGTTGGTAAGAATGTGAATGCTTTTACTCTGCAGCTGCCTTTGGAGGCTCTCACTTGCACACAGTATCTCTCACCAACTTGCTGACCTCCAAACTTGTACCGGTGCTTGTTTTTCTTTTTCGTTTTGTTCCATAATCAGAAATCTCTTGTACTGACAGTTTTACGGTCAAATCTGTCTAAACAAGTATTTTCATGACGAACTCCTGCGAAATCACAGTTTTTAAATGTCACATATGTTTACAACTTAAAACATTCCAAACCACAATACTGAAATAATTTTATTTATTCTTTTTTTTGGGGGGGAGCACAAAGGAAAAATATTTTAGCTTGCCCAGAACCACTTAACCTTATACAAAGTCTTTGACTTGTGATTTTGGTGGCTCAGAGAGTAGTTTTTTGTGGTTTTCTGGAGGCTCTGGGCAGGAGGTTGGACTCTGACCCTGGCTTGTTGTGGGTGGGGAGAGTGGATAGGCTGGGATGAATAGGGTTTATTCTTTCCTCTTAAACTCCTGATTTCTGACTGTGACTGAGGAGCATGAGAAAAGGAAAAGAAACATGAAGATGGTCCAGGATGGTCGATTGTAAATCGAGTGACAGGCATCGGAAACCAAGGTTTATGTTTGGCATATTGCTCAGTTAAAAACAGAAAAACAATAAATGAACTCCTTCACTTGACCCCAAACATGCAAATAAAGTTTAGAAAAAGTTGCAAAATTCATGCATGTCTTCACAAAAAAACTAAAAGGAAAAACAGCGATCTGTGTAGTTTTATTTTATTGCTATTTACATATATGTATTAAATATTTTATATGGGTACAACAGTTATTCTACAATAATAGGTGGTTTTAATTTGAAGTTTTTTCCACACAACATGTAGAATGCATTAACAATAAATGAACCAGTGTTACTTTTGGGAAAATACAGCCTTTTTTGCCTGAATGATTAAACAAACAAAACATTTTAGACATAGACTTAGACAGTACTTTATTGATCCCTTGGGAAGACTCCCTCAGGAAATGAATTGCCATATTTATTTAAAATCAATATAAAACTCACAAGCATAGGCTGTGTTTTATGGACTGTGTTATGGATGGATGGACAGACAAGCCAATTTCTAAGATTTCAGTCTAAATGGTAAAAGTTGATCAAACAAAAGCTAGTCAGATAAACATGCAAATATCAATGAAATTCACTTCACTTTAGAACTGTGATAAGAAACAAGCTCATATTGTATCACAAAAGTTTTCTTAATTCCCCTTGCATCAGTGGATATGTTTATGTCATTCCTACTTTTAATGGGGGGTTTGAGCTATTCTCCAGAATCGTGGCGCAATCCAGGGACAAATGTCAGACTGAGAAGCAATGCACACTAACTATGGAAATATGAATCCTTTCATGTTCTTCCACTGAGTTCATTCACGTGACACAAGAAAACAAAAAGGACTTTAAAATACATCCCAGTGTCTCAGCCTGATCAAAAATCATCTAAAATACTAACAAATTCTGATCATTCAGTCTGGGATCTAATCACTGCATGTTTACACTGAATAAGACTCAACTGGACTGAAATGCTCTGCATATTTCTGTAAAAAGAATATATAAATGCACCCAGGAGATTAGAGGTAACATTTTCCATCTAAAGTTCACCTCAATTAAACATGACCCTAAAATGGTATGGGACATAAATGATCCAGAGTCTGCTGCATGGGGGTTTTACATTTGGAGCCCCCCTGACATTTAAAAGCAGAAAGGCTCCCTTGAACTTCCAGGTGAGACAGAGCTTCTTCATGTTCAGGTGCTGCGTTCACAACTGGGTCACACGCAGCGGTTTGGAAGGCCGCTGGTAGCCCGGAGAGGGGGCGGGCTGAGTCAGGCCGCCACTCCCCGCTCAGGCCTCCCTCCACTCCAGTGCGCCGTCACTCCTCCATACCCGCAGGCCCAGAGTCCACGGGAGGAAGTCGCAGAGATTGGGGGGAGAAACGCGCAACTCCCGCACGCGTCGCTGGAATATTAAAAAAAACGACTGAAATTGGGAAGGAGAAGCAGCCCGGGTGCGCGGATCTTCTCCCTCCGCTGCGGGGGGAAAAACAGAAACGGGATCAGAGTTTGGGAATTATGGACTAAACGCGCCGGGTCCGATCCGATGGAGGCGGCGAGAAGTTTGGTGTTTGTCGGGGCCGTTCTGCTCGGAGTGACGGGTGTCTTGGGCAGAGAAGGTGGGTCGCTTTCCTCGAGTTAAACACACAGACACACACCCACACACACACACAGTTTGTTTAGTTGGATCGGAACGGACGCGTTTCTCCTCAGACTTCTGGCAGCGTCGCCTGGCGCGCGTATTCTCGTTCCACCCGAGCTTCTTCTTCTTCTTCCTGGGCTGGACGACATTCCTCCGTGACTCGGCAGCCTGCCCCTCCGTCCCCTGCGGGGGCTCTCGGGATTTCCGAGGCGCTGGTCAGGGCAGCGGGATCGCACCTGTCAGCCCCGCGCCACACTTTAGCCAAAACTGACCCCTTACTGACCCACCGGACCCTGTCCGGCCGAGTCCGGCCGTGCGTCCGGTCAGAGAGGCCGGGGGCAGGTCGAAGGTGCGGACACGGACGCCTCAGCTCTGTGCGCCAGAGAGAGAGAGAGAGAACTTGTTTTTGTTTTTCTGATCTGGTAAACAAACAACAGGCAGCGCATTGTGCGGCCGGGATCATGACGATGTCAATTATTCACTCCTCGCTCCAAAAGGGGGACATTGTCTGATAGAGGGGCCGCCTGTCACACTCGGGGTTTGAGAGCTGGAGCTAAGTGACCGCGCGCACAGCGGAGAGTTTCCATTCAGCCGGGTTTTTTTTTCTCACCGCACGTTTGCTTCTGAGGAAAGCTTCCGAGCAAAACATATTCCACTGTCCTACTTGTTTATTGTTTGTCAACTGGTTAGACGACTCATCGAGCTGGAATCAGAAATATCAATACGCACGGTCAGATGATTTTAAAAGCTTTTGAGTGGACGCACGCTCAGGGCCAAACACGGGGAACCGAGAATGATCCCTGCGCTTCAGACTTTATTGACTTTGGTTGTCGTTTTTTTTTTATTTCTTTTATTGACGTGCAGGGTTAAAGATTAAAAGCCCACGGAAGAGGTGTACTGCACACAGTTTACACAAGTCGTGACATGAAAGCGTTCCACGTCAGAGCTAAAGATTCAGTATTTAAAAACGGACGATTTGTTCAAGTTCAGCTATTCTGCC